AGCAAAACTCCAACACAAGGGTTTGGTGGAGTCTGTTAGGATGAGTACTGCACTTGTAAACTGATTGTGCTTTACGTTAGATAAGGCGTATCTCAAATGCCAACTGTTTATGTGCACAGATGTATGGTGTTGGGATTTGCAAGGACGAAGAAGGTCATAGTAAATCACCCTAGGTGGTTAGGGTTAATGCAATTTGAATGTAAAAACTCCCGTTGCCGTCTGCATCTAATTTTGCACGCATCATAATTTCATATTTCATTTTAGTTTAATGTTAATTTTTTTGGTAGGCAGTGCCGTCTTGCAAAATGAACAATTAATTCAAAGAAACTGTGATAAATGCACAAAGAAATCAGCCATCATTCTACCCTTTTAATTTCTTGAAAAGAACCGGAGAGTCCCTCCGGTTCTTTTCAGAACCACACATACTCACAAGAGAGACTTATTCACATGGTGCTACCGCAAACTTATCTTGTCTTAGTATCTTTCCACCATGCAAACCTTCAAATCTCATATTAATTTCTTGCTATCAAAATTTTGAGCAAAATAAATTAAAAGTAACAGTTATGTTTAGAGACTTAAGGCCTAAGCGGGATCAATCACCTCTTGGGTTTTGAATCATACAGGTAGTTCGCTATTAGATACCATGTTGCTTAATTATGTGGGAAGAGAGCATGGTTTTGAATTATGATTGACACCTGTATTTGTAAACATTATGATATTAATTAGAGGTGTCGTAAAGTTAAACTACACAATGCCAAAAAGTACTCGCCTATCCTTCAAATAGCAAAGTCAATATTTTTCTTAGCCAAAGTAAGAACGACGCATTTACGATCTCTAATAACAGAGGACATGAAACCTAGCTACCTGGCCTGTGGTCCGGTACTGTAGTGTAGACCCAAGTCCCATAAATATGTGACTGAAATACTGGACTACCTCCGTATATGCAGTCACAAAGCCACGTACGGCCTGTGAGCGGAGCGTCCCGTTGCTAGGGGAGCCGAAAATTAATTAGGCCTAAAGATCGAAATTATTTTGTCAGTAGAAAATCAACCCAGCTATAGTATGACTGCTAAATAGCACAACATCGTTAAATTCGATACCTTCAGAGGTCTAGTTATCCAAAAATCATGGTAATTCGTCAAAGAATGCAGACGGTTTTGAGCAAGCATGGCGTCGCTGAACGGGAACATGTGTGCACACCCTATGGCGCGTATACATACGCTGCCGATCTAGTCTATATGCCTATGCTACAGATCGTCGCTTGTTCTGCTGTCAATAAAGCTTAGCGTAAGACACGCACATATAAAACTGTTCAACTGTTCTTTAAAGATATAGTCTATCATTTGTAATTTGTGCATTTTGTTCGCTTGAAGCATATAGAGCTATATTAAATTATGGTTTGAAGCAACAAAAGTGTTCAAAATCTAATGAAGGATAATGAACAACTAACCTGACGAAGTTTCAGCTCAGCTTCAGCTGTATATTCCGAGAAAAACAGCATTCTAGGATCTCAATTTCAAATCAAAAGTTGCTGAATCATGTTTTGAATTGTTTTGAATTGCAGCTATTACGCGATGTCGCGCACTGATCCGACGAATTATAGCAACCGCGCGCGCCTGTGCGTCGTGCCAATGCTTGCGCGCGCTGCGCCGAATAACAAAACGAACAACTAATTTAAATTTTCCTACGGTGCATCTTAAGACGCACCGTTGGAAAGGCCTTCTTTCGTTGATTACTTCAAAATGATAGCTTGCCAGAAAGATTAATTTCACAGGGAGTTTAGTCCACTTACTATCTTTCAACCAAGTATGTTTTTCAACAATAATACGCCAGTTACTTTTTCGGATGGCTGCAAATGATGGACTAAAGCTTTAATCTTGTTGATCAAACACATAAACAAATAATCTGACTGATGTGGCTTAAAACGAAGAATTTGACTTTAGTACTTGATCCAGATGACTTGACGGTTTTTACAATTAGTTAATTGACGGAGAAGCTAGAGGTGACAAATAACAGTCATATGTGTAACTGCAACTTTGTGACGGAGGTTGGTTGACTATTACTGGGTTGACGGAAGGTGATGGTAATTACTATGTCATGTGACGAAAAGTTGCTGTAACAGAGGTGACAATTGTGGTGACAATTATGTATATGGTGATATTGTCAAACTCCTCACAGTATGAATGTGAGGTAACGTGACGTGAGGTGTCACAAGGGTGTCCGATCGAATGGCGATAATGGAGGTGTGATGGTGTCCGATAGTGTCACAATTGTGGTTCGACTGAAATACAAAAGAAAAAAATACCACATAAAAATTAGTCACACTAATTTTCTAATAATCAAACTATAATGCATATAAATCCTTAACAATGACTTATCAGTAACAAATCCCTAAAGCCCTTACATGCAAGGATCTTGAGCATGTAACAAGAATAATGGCAAAGATATATGCATGTTCATTAATGTACATGAACATGTTCACATGTAAAACTTTCATACAGAAAATCCACAATTGTGGGCTTCAAATCACTCCTAAACTACTGCTAATGGGCGATATACAAATCTAAACACAAACCAAACACTCAGTCACTTTGCTGAGCTGACCAAGGGCTTGTCGCAACTTACTAAAGGCTTAATTTTGAGCATTTACATGTATATGGAACAATTTGGCAACGTGACTTGTCAACATTTAAAGGGAAGATACAATTTGCAAACATCAAAAAACGAAATGATCAAACTATCACGAAATACCTTACTGGATTGTTAGGGAATGACAGTCTTAAGCAAGTCATGATTTTGGATAATGCAAGTCACTGCACTTCGCTCGTACCGTACCCTAGCCTTTCACCAAGGCCATCGTGGCTTAACTTGCCCGCATTCGTACCGTGCGTGCTGACTTCATCTTTGCTCCAGTCGCTTCGGGTCTTCGCAACTCCGCCGCTCATAAGCCACGATGGCCTGGGCGAAAGACTAACCGTATCCCCGCCCTGCAAACAGGGCGCTATGGGAAGGGCAGATGAGCTTCACAGAATCTTGTGAATGAAATGGTGATGGCATTCTGGGTAATTTATCATGACCTATGTATAAAGCATCTGGCTGCAGCTGCAGACCACGGTTAGCCAATGCGCGCAAATAATAGTATCCGAAAAGTTTGCCATAGAAATGCATACACACCATACCGGATGTGATTTCTTTTTCATTGCGGACCACGTGGACAAATTTTGAGCGTCGAATGGTATGCATTTCGACCCTTCGTGAATTCAAAACGGAGCCTGAGCAACTGACGGGAGTTGAAAATTTACAAAACAGATCAGTTTTACAGTGATGTTCCTACATTGTTATGCTTTTCAACCAAAAAAGGGCGCCGCATTTATGAATGGGAATAAAAGAGTGATGAATGACTCAAACCTTTCAAACCTTGCAGGGTCGTACTGGTCGTGATGACTCGCACTGACAGGTCAGGCAAAATCTATCCAATCAGATCAAGAGCGTTAATTCGTCAGCCCTTCCCAGTGTCCTGTTTGCAGGGCGACTGCACTTGCACAGAGAAAAGGATATTCTGTCGGCAACAGTCCCTTTAATAATAATCGTACGTCCTACTCGCGCTTTGCATTTCGAGTACACTTTCAAAATTCAATCCCATAAAATGTCATTGTTCTACAAACAGGCACATGATTCAAAATGTCTCCCTTATAGTAGAGTCGTTTTCCTGGAATCCGTGACCATGTTGCGGATACCTTTTATTCTTGATGAATTTGACAAATTGGACCAATTTTAAGAAAAAAAATAGCTCCTATACACCTCCCAAAAGTGACGGCAAACTTTTCTAAAGCACTTTTTTTTCAAGAAGGCCGCCGACGCCATATTGAAATACGTAACAAGTGATATCTCGGGAACCTGATGAGCCATAACGATAAATGAGGCATCGATTCCCACTATTTCAGCCTAATGCAGTTGCTATATCTCATCAAGTCGGGCAAATCATTTAGTTAGCTCTATGGTCAAACGTGAGATCACACAAGAATAGCACCCTAGGCCATCAGGAGGTCACCTCACTTAAAGATGCAAACTGCAACACAGCTTGAATGTCCCCTAGGGCCCGCGCCCATGCGGTACACCTCGTGGCTTTGCCATTCGCATGTGCCGGTCTCCATCTCCAGTCGCTTCGCGTTTTCGCTGCTTTAAATGAACTATTTGAGGGGTTAGTGTAATAGATCAAATATTGTTACACTGACATGTTTGAAGTTTTGTGTTCGAAAATGCCGAAAAAGCCAAGAAAAACAAAAACGTTCAAGTAGTCTGGTTCCCTGACTCCACTAAAGATGAAATGGATCAATTATAGATGCCGGAAAATTGTTAGGTCAGGGAACCAGTCTAGCTGGCCTGCACCCGTTCATGAACATGTAACCATGGAGCTATAGCTCCATGATGTAACCAATAGCAAACACAATTTTGACTGAACAAAAAGGTAAATTTGGAGCAGTAGTTGAAAAATAGGTAGGTTTTTCCAACAGTGTTCGGCCGACCACCGTTGGAAATTTATACAAAAATACAAATTTCTTGAAAATGACTTCACACCAAGTGCCATAATTTTACAGGATGCTTTAGACTGTCATTAACCAACATCCTAGTGAGGTATTTCGTAAAAACCTGGTAGTTTTATTTGTCGATGTTTGCAAATGTTGTATATTCCCTTTAAGCCACGATGGCCTTGGTGAAAGGCTAACGAGACTGCGGCTCTGTTTCAGTCCTGGCTGCAACCACGATATAGGCCCGGACATAATTTGAGACGTGGGCTCTGTATAAGGTCAACACTAAGACAAAAAATTCACTGTTTAGCTTGGCCATCTGTTTCGGTACCAGGTTTGAGCAATAATTATATATAATTTAACTTATCTGAAACTGGGCAGCGATTCCAAACTGGCGACAATGCTGGTGCCGATGTTTACAAACATAATAGTATTGTGCCCTGCACGTGCATATTGAGAATCCCGCACATTACAACTTTTACTGGCAGTTACCTGTCTACCGTAAACAAAAATGGAGGCGTCGTCCAGTACGGTTTGCAAAACCTGGGAAGTATTTTTTGAACGCTATAAACAGACGTGGAAATGGTATGAAAATTGGGTGTCTGAAAATCCGGAGGTAGTGTCACAGATCGAGAAGAGTTTCAGGGTATTTTCCTATCTCCTTCCCGGTGAGTATGATAAACTCACTCACACAGTCACAGTCACACATAGACCCGTGTGAACGTGGCGTTGTACATACAACGCCACGCGCTTCCCTTGGGTAAATACAAGCATGATACAAGCGAAAGCATTCTATCTTTTGATCCGCTACATATAACCATGTATAATTTTGCCATAGGTAAATCATTACTTGTTGGGCTTCCTGTGAATTTACGCGAATGTTGAGTCTGTCATTACCAAGAAATTTGATGTAAAGTACGGCACAACCTAGCCCGACTGCGTCTGGCCGTACAGTACTATCGCAAGCTCTGTAGTACGGCCAGACGCCCAATGCTTCCAAAAAGACTGATTTTTTTTGGCCGCTGATGTAGCGATTTTGCTACAGATTTCGATCGAGATTATCTTTTCATCCAGGACAAAAATTTCCAAAGTTAAGGTTCTTAGTCGTAGAGCAACTCATACCTTTTCGAAAAAACGTTCTTTGGTCTCAATATTTTCATCCATCTGGCCAAAAGACGACTCTCAGTCATCATCTTCCACAAATATCGTCCCGAAAATGCTCCCCCATGCGATTTCAAAATGGCGGCCGCGCTGTAATGTATGCATTATGCGAGCGCGCTTGGGCAAGATAATGAATATGCATTATTTAGATCATGACCTCGTGTTTGTATGGCCAGCCGCGCCGAGTGTCCGACAAACGTCATAAACTATGATGTATATTCACTATCTTGCCCAAGCGCGCTCGCATAATGCATACATTACAGCGCGGCCGCCATTTTGAAATCGCATGGGGGAGCATTTTCGGGACGATATTTGTGGAAGATGATGACTGAAAGTCGTCTTTTGGCCAGATGGATGAAAATATTGAGACCAAAGAACATTTTTTCGAAAAGGTATGAGTTGCTCTACGACTTAGAACCTTAACTTTGGAAATTTTTGTCCTGGATGAAAAGATAATCTCGATCGAAATCTGTAGCAAAATCGCTACATCAGAGGCCAAAAAATTCAGTCTTTTTGGAAGCATTGGGCGTCTGGCCGTACTACAGAGCTTGCGATAGTATTGTACGGCCAGACGCAGTCGGGCTAGGCACAACCATGACAACTTTGTCACAACGAACAATGACGAATATTTTCAAACGCAGTGGCTATTGTTACGGCAGCCGTAACGCATTTCCCATTTTCTATCGTTACGGTAGACTGCAACTTTTATAAAAACATGACAAGAAAATATAAAATTAGAAGGAAAAAAGTGAATTTGAACGTTATGAAATTCGGACTTTATTTCCCTTTTAAAAAAAATCCTCCAAAGCCTCACTCCCTCAGGTTAGAAAAGGAAAAAAATTCGAGTGCAAAACTGAGATTCGAACCCGCAACCTCGCGGTGCAAAATCCTACCCTCTATCGGCTGAGCTGTCGCACTGCTCGCTAAAATGTGTGGAAACAAATAACTATATACCTGCGTGCGTATCAAAAAAGTATCGTAGAGGGCGCTAAACGACGACTGCCGTAACGATAGCCACTTCGTTTTTCAAATATCAGAAATTCAAAGACAGGCATGACACTCTGGTACCCTGAGTTCCGCATGCGCAAAATGGTAGGAGTATCACCAGTGGGTACCCGACTAACCGTCTTACATGGCAGGATGACCGTAATTACCATGTAAAATTATGCTAAATCCACTTCGAAAATCGAAAGTCTGCCAAATCACCCAGTATATATTGCAGTATATATTAAGGATCTTTCAAAAAAATGAAGGTTTTTCAAACCAAATGTGCCATATTTCTCTAATCTTCTTCATTTTCCTTCATCTTCGTAATTCTGGCAAAAAAATATTCTGCTGATTTTCTGTACAACTCATTTTTGTATGCAAATATTCTGTCAAATGTAGCCGAAATTCGGCTAGAACGGTCACTCCGTCTTAGTAACTGCGGATAACAATAGAGTGTTTTTACTATAGACTGAAGCGTGGCTATGTAGCCACGTTCAAGTCATATAGATTTAGCCCCATAAATGTGGCCAATTTACTGGACTAGGCCTACCTCCGTAAACAAAGGCCACACTTCCACATGTACAAAAATGTGTCGAACTTTGTCAAATTTTGATTGTCACATTTAGGCTTAGGGCCTAGTTTGTAGTTTTTTTTGCCATAGAAGCATACTCACCCTCTTTATAGGCTAATCAGAAAGTGCTGCCTTTTTCAGATGTCTATTTTTCGTGAAATTTCCAGATTCATTTGCACACGTTTGCGTATCAAACAGGCATGCAACTTTTCCTCGGATCAGCTGATTTCCTCTTTTTTTTATTCTCATTTCTGCCATTCAAAATTGAAAATCACTGTACAGTCTTCTGACTTTAGGAATTTCCTCTTTTTTGGTGAATTTACAGTTGCATGCCTGATCAAAATGTATGAGGTATGTAAATGAAATCTGGGGTGGGATATTAGAGGTGAAATAGGACAATTTTTGGGAGGCCATTCTGGAAGGATCTCTTGCTATCACACTCTAACTCCCTAGTTACGTCTCCAGCGCTACATGTGAATGATTATGAGCAAGTCAGCTGGAGTTACTCAAGCTAACATGTAGCATGCATGTGAATGTGATTACTCGACCATGCTCGACAGTGCGGCGTATTGTTAGGGAGTCCGGCGAATTTCATTTTTTAAAGAAAGAAATCTCATGTTTTGTATCACTGAAAAGAGAATTACACAATAAAATCAATGGCATTTGAATCAGCTTCATAGTTATTTGCACTTTGGACTGGAGATGCAAAAATTTAAGTGGCCAAATTTGGAGTCTCAATTCTCAATGATTCTGTAAGATTTACAGTGACAAAGAATTGTTTTGAAGTCATTAGTAGGGAAGTTTCAAAATAAAAACCAGGCCACATGGGACAACAAAACATATTTCACATGTTATGACGCTCGCGAAAGCTGCAGTTTACACCGTAATGCTATGAAGCTCACTGTACACACTTGTATCTTGCTGTATTCGTGCGCACCTTAGTAAACAATCTCAACAGCAACTTCCAAGATTTGAAGTTTGGCATGTTTGGCGCTGGGTTTCTTTAACAGGTTCCCGGGTACCCTATTTTGCTTTTTAATCGGGTAACCGGTTCTTGTACTACCCGTAAATGCACACCCCTAGAAAAGACATGAATCTGGGACTGAGAAAAATGTCCAATATTTGTAATTTCTATTTTTTGTTGGAAAATACTTTGAAAATGCACTCAACCATGTCAACTCTCTATGCAGTAGACTTTAAATCAAGTATACAACCAAAGAAGTGGCGTACGTCTGCATATACTATACCATACAGTACATGTTCATTCTTTCCATAGTGTATGATGATATGAATGAGTATATTTTCTCTTTTTTTGTACATATGTTATTGGCCAACTGAACAGGTGCAGTGAATGTCGACACAGTTGTAGCAGAGTTGGGTAAGAAAGACTTATTTCTCCTTTAGGCCTAAATGTGCACCAAAAAAAAACCCTGAAATGATCTATAGGCTATGTATCAAGCCGGGGCCGTATCATAAGTCGGACGCCTCATAGGTTCAACGCCTCATAAGTCGAAACTTCGGACTTATGAGGGGTCGGACTTAAGACATGTATGAGGCTTAAAATATATTTATTCCGCCTCATAGTTCCGACGCCTCATAAGTCCGACGCCTCATAAGTCCGATGTCGGAAAAACGAGGCGTTTAATTTGTCGGACTTACGAGGCGTCAGAGCTATGAGGCGTCGGACCTATGAGGCGTCAGAGTTATGGGCCTTTATTTGGTTAGGGGATGCGATTTTGTCGGACTTGCATGTATGAGGCATCGGACCTATGAGGCGTCGGACTTACATGTATGAGCGGACCCCATCAAGCCTATTGGCCACCTACCGTAATCAATATGCTCATGGTGCCGTAATGTTGCTCCTTTAATTTTGTGTATTTCGGAACCCCTTTCATAAGACAACAACATCCACTTTTTATGTTACAGACTCATCAAAATAGCTGGCGATGTTGAAAAGCAACAGGAATGTCATGGAGAGATGGGGGGGGGGGGATAGTGAATTTACATAGATATGGGTTAAAATTATGACAAAAAAAACAACACAAAATTTAACATGATGGCAATAGTTCCAGCTCTCACGCCATGCATACTGTAGCTAATAAAATGAAACTTGTCTTGAAATGTTATCTCTCCCCTCCCCCAATATTGTTTTCTTGCAATATTCACAAGTTCATACCTGTCATATTGTAAATGTTTCCGATTGTTCTTTTTTGTTTTGTTGTATGCAGTGTTTTCATTGTCCAACTTGTTAGTTTTATTTCATGACGGCATACTACGCAAGGCAAGAGGTTTTACTGCATCAACTCTAGTAAGTGTATCAACTTGGAGATCAATAGTTGGCAACACGTCGCAATGTACATGTACAGCAGGGAATGGTACATTTTCCGAAGACGGGACCGAGAAACATAAATCGTTACAACAATGTACCACAAACTGTGCACCACCTCAAAGTGGCATCACAATTTTTCTTTTCTTTAAGAAACATGGATTTTAAAGTCAAAAGTTTGAATCTGAGTGCACTCAAAGTTAGTGACTCAAAACCAGATCTGGGCAAGCTAGTAAAGATGATCCAAGAACGCACACAACTAGAGTGGCTAAACACTGGAAGACTTGTCATGCATCTACATGTCCATGTAGTATGCTGTGGGCCAGATTTAGCCCATTCATTGGCATTATGGGGTAATCCTATAGGATAGCACTGCCAGTCAGTCAGGCACTCAGTGAGATACATACGGTAGGTACATAGGTGCAAACAGGACACACGGCTGGCCCTCTGGGACCAGCCAAATGTGAAATTCTTAAAGGGAATGTACATCATTGGCTTTTGCTGTAATTTTCAGAAATGGAGTATTTGAGGGGTTAGTATAATATATCAAATATCGTAACACTGACATGTTTGAAGTTTTACGTTCGAAAATGCTGGAAAAACCAAGAAAAACAAAATTGTTCAAGTAGTCTGGTTCCCTGACTCCACTAAAGATGAAATGGATCAATTTACAGTTGCCAGAAAATTGTAAGGTAAGGGAACCAGTCTAGCTGGCCTGCACCCGTTCATGAACATGTAACCAATACCAAACAAAATTTGGACTGAAAAAAAGGTAAATTTGGAGCAGTAGTTGAAATATAGTTAGGTTTTTCCAACGGTGGTTGGCCGTGTACAATGTATACAAAAATACCATTTTCTTGAAAATGACTTCACACCAGATGCCATAATTTTACAGGATGCTTTAGACTGTCATTTACCAACATCCTAGTAAGGTATTTCTTAAAAACTTGGTAGTTTTATTTTTCGATGTTTGCAAATGTTGTATATTCCCTTTAATGTGACAGCTCACGTGTCTAATTTCATTCTCCAACATTGTCATTCCAATCCCTGCAAATGTGTGTTCTCAGACAATATCGGCACAGCGATTGATGCGATGGCTGACAGTGATTGACCACACGGAGGTGTTTGTGGAATTAGCCGCTGCCAAATGCTGGGGTGAGGCCGGCCGGTGGTTCTTCATTGCTCTGATACAAATACTCAGGTCTGTTTCAACCTACATTGTAACTATCAAAACATTTCAAATTAATGAGCCTCTGGATTTTTTTTTGGGGGGGGGGGGTAATCAGGAAGTTTTATGAAAAGCCCTTGTGTAGGATTAAGTAAAAAACAAAAAGAAATAATGTTGATACCTCTGTCTTGAATACTGTATTTACATTGGCCTACATGTAGAACGATCACGTGCTCAGTTTATGAAAAGTCATGGCACACACGTCCCTGTGTCCCACAGGGAGTGTGCTATGACTTTGTGTGTACGGTACGTATGCGTACGTGTTTCACACCTAAAACGCAGTGACTTTGCAGACGATCCCGATCAGCTGTTTCGAGCACGCAACATGCATGTGAGTTGACGTTCGATTGTCATGATCTTCGTAATTTTTACATCGAAATCCTAAGGATCCAAGACGTACCGGTAGGTATAACAAAACAATTGTTGACTGGTGTGATGTGGGATATGACGTTTTGAACACCCGAGGGGCGCATAGCACCCAAGGTGAAGCCGAGGGTGCTATGTGCCCCGAGGGTGTTAAAAACGTCATATCCCACATCACACCAGTCAACAATTGTTAAATATTATTGTATTATTAAGCGAAGTAAAAGAGATGCCATTTCAGTCCCAGCCTTAACTTATGAGATTTCCAACCAATAAAGCTAGCAGAGGATACTGTACATGTACCCATACAAGATCTTAACATCATCAAAGCACACAAGAATGGCAAAGAAGATCCGACTGAGATCAAAGACCTTTATGCTGCTGCATTCACAGCACCAAGACTCTATAAAGTAGTGCGCAAGTCCACTGCAGAAGACAACTCATCGAGATCAAACCAGACACCGGCATGGAAGACAGGAATACAGGGTCAGATAGATCAATTATGGGAGGGCATTGGTCTGCACTATATGTACAAGTGATCTGATACACCGTGCCCTCTGGAGACGTGCACACAATAGGGAACAAAAGATTGTATATGTCTCCACAGGGCAATTTCTATAGATGAATACATCTCCACAAGATTTTCACGAAATAGATATATGGATTTTACTCAAAAACTAGGAATTTCCAAGGTGGGTTGATCAGTCGCAAATTGAAGAGTTTTAGAAAAGGGATATTAAGTCCAAATTTCAGCCAAGGAAATTAATTCTGGTTAAAATAAGAGCATTTTGAAACTTCACTTTTAAACTCGAAAACTTTACTACACGAGAACAAAGAAATGTCTCCACAAGAATACAAATTTCAGTATGCGTATATGTATGTCTTTGTTAAGTCTGCCGCACAGAGTGCGATGCAGTGAAGAAGCTGAAGAAAAAAACATGATCTATAGCAACACCTGATAAGATCACTGCTGTTCTGGAAGGGAAGAAGATGAGAGTACAAGCTTTGGCGCAGAGAATCAAAAGATATGAGATGAAACTCCAATACGTTCAAAACAGGCAGTTTCAGAGAGATGCAAAGGCTTTCTACTGGTCATTAAACAGCAAGAGCGGTGAGTTGATTACCAACCATCTCTGTAAGGAGGAAATTGAAGAGTTTTGGAGCTGACTGATTAACGAGGCAGCATACACGGAACAAGAGATACATTCAAGCTCGGGATAAACAAAGAATCACAGTAGGTGACCTTAAAAAAGTCCTCAAATTGGCAGCAAATTGGAAGATTCTGGTCCTGACCAAATCCACAACTTTTGGTTGAAGAAACTAAACATCTATCCATGATCTAATCACATGTACATGTACTTGTGTTGGATCATCCGCATGAGATCCCGTCATATTGCTTACGCGGGGTGTAACACCTTGCTCTACAAAAAAAAAGTGATGCATCTGATCCAAAGAACTACATGTACAGATCTATCACCTGTCTTCCCACAATGCTCAAACTTCTAACGGGTATCCTCGCCGGGAACATTGACAACGAACTCCGTGAAAACGACATCATGGCTGATGAACGTAACAGTTGTAGAAAAGGAGCCATGGGAGCAAAAGAGCAGCAGCTGAATGATAGAATGGTTCTGCAGGACGCCCTTGCCCAACATGCCAAGCTCTCAGTAGCATGGATCGACTATCAGAAGGCAGACTCTGTTCCTCACAGTTTCCCTGAGCAATCACTAACCAGGTTTTGACCTTTCTCGCCACTGCTCTGTCAAAATGCTGTACCTAGATGCACATCAAAGGGCAAGATGCATAAAACTACACGAGAGAAATTCAGATCAGGCGAGGGATCCTCCCAAGGGGACTTGTTACCTGTATCTTTGGGAGTGCTGTGGCCTCGTGGTTAAGGGCACTGATTCGTGGTCTGCGGGTAAAGCTGCAGGTTGTGGGTTCGAGTCCTGGCGGGGTCATGGTGCGTGTGCCCTTGGGCAAGGCACTTTGTCACTCATTGCTTCTCTCCACCCAGGAGTAAATGGGTACCTATGAGGGCAGTGATGGTTATTGTGATTGAATTAGCTTCCTTGCGCCTAACAGGCTGCATCGAGCTGTATACTCCCCAGGGAGCTGAGATGGAAAATGGAATGTTTAATTGGCCCAATGATTAGGGGTAATAATAATAATAATGTAAAGCGCTTTGATCTTAGTTAAAAGCGCTATATAAGAACCTGTTATTATTATTATTATTTTTAATAACCCACTTTAGCAAAGAACTACAATTGTTGGGCATTGGGTACAGTGCTGGCATAGGAACAGCTACTCCAGAGTGTACTGTCAGTCACCTATTATACACGGATGACCTAAAGATGTACGCGAATACTGCCAGACAGTTATCCAAAATGCTTGATGTTTTGTCAAACATTTCTACCAACATCAGCATGAAGTTTGGGCGCATCTTCTTCAACGGACTGTAATTCTTCAGATGTGCAACATCCCCCCCCTTCCAAACTGGAATTCTCGGAAGACAATTATCCTCTAGCTGATTAGCTATGTTTCAATGATGATAACAATTCCCATCCTGGCTTTTGAGCATGTGCCTTTTTTCCCTTAATAGGATGGTATATTTTCCACAATGAAGGATGGATTCTTTTACTTTCTCGTCTCCTTTGCTGATAATACGGGTGTGCCCAAAGGAGCCATATGATATTTAACTTGCGTACATGTGTACATGCTACAATTTTGCTGGAAACAAATAAAAAGACGACATATATTGCAAATGTATGATTGAAAAACCCCCCAAAGAAACAAAAGAGGCGGGTGGGGGAAAAAAAGAAGTGGGCTTATGGAATGAAGAAATGGTTTAGTTTTGCTTGGCTTTAATCATTAAGGAGAGAATGTGAAATTGAACAGGCAGTAACTGGAAGTTACCTTCAGGTTTTACTGGGTTGACAGAGCCCGGAGTTCAACTTCATTTTAATCGCTTATCTTATTTTGCACTCTTCCGTAACATGACGAAACAGGCTTGAAATTATCTTTTTCAACATTCTTGATTCAACTTTCTTTCCACCCCGATAGATCTATTTTTAGACTGATCCTGCTTTTGAAGTGCAAAGCAGGTGTGAGATCACAGCCTCCTCTCCAGCCGCTGAATCGAGACACTGACGTCAAACCATGCACGACTCAAGCACAGGGAGGCGAGGAAGATCCACCAGAGACTGCAGAGAGACTGGTGTCAGACGCAGCAGTGAGGGACTCCGGTGCCACATTCAGGGGTGAGAGGTCAGGTCGGGTCGTGAGGTCATTGGATGCAGGTGAGACATAGGTTGCAGTTGTATCAACCTCGTGCCCATGACATTTTAGCAGTACGCTACCACAAGCTGCTCTACCATGAACCAGTTCACGTCGGATGACATGTATATACATCATGGAAAGGTTTTGGGGTATTCGGAACAGATGACGGATAAGCACGCAACGAGCGAGGCCGGAAATATCTGTTAGCGATCTGCTAGCAGTGAGCGAGGCCAGAAATATCAGGGTGTGCTACCCGCAGATGACAGCCTGAACCCGTCTGGCATTGAGGTTTGTGAAAAACAATCCCGCGCCTGGGTCCAGTCAATGTCAAAATAATCCCGGCGTGAATTGGTCAAATACACGATACAAATCCTTGCTTGCTATTGCCTCCCGGTAAATAACGAGAAAACAGTAAGCTACCCTTCCAGGATTGACTATTAGTACTGAGGTTAAATCCCTGGGAAAGAGACTGCTTGCCGTGTCTACCTTTGGCTCTTGTTGCTGTCCAAATCTCAGGATGATGCTCAGAATGTCTTTCTTTTTTACAGCTCCCAATATTCATCAAAGAACATGGCGACTGCCACGGAGTGAGGAACAGGACGAAAAGGAAAGTACTCCCCCGGAAAAAGAGGAGCCAACAGAACTCATGGGCTTCCCTCTGGCGGGAGAATCTCTGCAGATTGCAAGACCTTTGCTGCATTGTATCCTTTGGAACAGTTTCGAAACTTAACCAGTTTGAACGAGTTTGAATCAGTCAGAACCAGTTTGAGGAAATCTGAACCAGTTTGAACCATTTATGATTGGTTTTAGCATGTCAACGTGTTAAAGATCATTGCGAGATGTGTGATTCATTGTGTGGTTGGTACAGTTTCATTTGGATTAATAAAAAAAACAGTGTCTTTTCCAAACATTTTATTTTGTGGGCTGTAATGTTGAGAACAAGATTAGATAGTAAGCTAGACTTATGTTTGTGGACAAACACAGGGCTGTTTTGGCAACTTTTGACATGTAACATTTTTCAACCTGCTGCTAGAGGGCACTCTAACATTTTATGACGTCACAGGTAATATTGTTTGTAAGCACAACCTAGCCATAGACTGACATCAGTAAAAGCAAGTTCAAATCTTTTTCCACTTTCAAATTATAAGGCACTTCCGGTTTGGACCGGAGCAAGGGTCACGTGCTTTAGCACACGTGAGATAAAATGAAGATAACAATTCCCGCAAACGTCAAGTTCAGGTCTCTCATGGTTGATTTTATATTGATTTTCTTTTTAATTTTCATCTATAACACATCCCGGTCTAGGTACATACCAACTTTCAACCCAATCGGATGGGTAGTTCTGTATAGACATCAAAATATGCACATTTAATGTGACGTCATGTGACTCGTGATGACGTCGTGATGACGTCAATGTTCGGCGCACATCTGTGGGTGGAGTTCTAAGTGTGTGCCAGGTATAAAGGCAATCGGATTAATTTCAGTGCCCCAAGTGCCGGGGAAAAAAAAAACGTGTACAAATGCTATGGGCAAAAAGACTGATAAAGAAAAATAAAAGAATAAAATAAAAATAAAAATCTTAACTAAAACAAAGGCTGTTTCGGCAGTGTGCTGAAACAGCCAATTAGTCAGACGTGTACATGTATGGGGATGTAAAAGACTGTGCTGACTTTTTAAACCAAAGATTGTTAACTGTTGCCTTTATAGTCAACTGAGGGTATTTCATCAGGCTACTTGGGAGTTTTTGCATGTTACCTCATAAATGCTAATTTTTTTCTTAACCTCATCACTATAGTAACGGCTCTTTTGGTTTGGGGCCAGCAGTCTTGGAAACCTTGGTTGCTTTCTCTTGCAGCAGACATTGGAAGGTAAGTTTGAATCAGATCTTTTAATTATTTTGGCAATTTTAAATCAGACCTGAACATTTTTTTTTTCTGCAAAAGTAAACTTGCCACCCATTGCGCTTATGATTGACAATCAACATTTTTCCTACACCAGTTTTGGGGGCAGGGAAAACGGTCAAGTCATATCATGTTTGTGTTAGATATGTGAAAATAACGTCATCAATCTATTACAAAAGATGCTACAGTTTTCTGTATGCACAAATATTCATACGTTGGATTTGGCACAATATTTTCTTTCACTTTATACTGCAATTAAAAGGAAGAATTAAAACATCTCCAATATGGGCAATTCACAATAAAGTGCACCACAAATTAGGCTGCCCAGGAGAGTCAAGATTCCGGTCGACAAAAACATGGCCGACTTGCCGCAATTTGAACGAATCTCAGTAGACAACTTGAGGAAATATTTGATACAATGTAGATCAGGACATAGCATTCTGCCGCCTCAAAAACACCATCTTGATAAAAAAAAAAAAAAAAAAAAAAAAAAGAAGATTTTCAAATCATACACGCTTACGAAACTACTGTCCGGACAAACTAACAATTATTAGTGTTCCGTGCCATGGCAAATGTGTTGTCCGTCTCCCACAATGCACTGCAAAAAAAAAATGGAGTCTGTGTGTCAACCTCTTGGTGGCAAACTGTATTGTGATTCACCCGTCCCTTATAAAAATCCGCTATAGTTTCACCATGATAAATTTGTATTTTTACTATAGTTCGTCGAAGTTTACTGTGATAAGTATAATATATGTAAAGTTTTATGTAAGGTAAAGTTACTTTAATTTTACTACAGTAAAGTTAACCTGCAGTAAATATATAGTACATGTACCTTATTAAAGTTTACTGTAGTTTCACATCATACAAAAACTATAGAAATACTAAAGTAGGACTACAGTTTTAACACACTACATGTACGTTCTACACATTAACTGTATATCACTACATCCAAAAGTTGTGGTATTACTTTTTTTAAAAACTGAAGTAGGACTATAGTTTTAACACAGCACTTTCTACATATTAATTGTAGTTTCACTACATCTAAAAACTGTAGAGGTGGCAAACCTCTGGGTGGCAAACTGTATTGTGATTCACCCGTGTTATATAAATCAAGGCTTTTATTTCTTTTACAGTTTGCGGCTGCTGAACACTGGTAAACGCTACAACCATTCCGAGAGGACTGAATTAAGCAATCGATCCACAATGCTTCTCATATATCTACTCCGGTCTCCATGTTATGACCGGTACACTCGGTGAGTGGCTTTTCTTTTTATAGCAGTCTTCTCATTACATATCAGAGATAATTTGGGTAGAAGTTTATCCGGCTTTTTTGGCAATGGCTTTGTGTCTAGATGTGCTACTGCGTTCAGCCAAAGTCGTATCAAGAAAATCCTTCATTCCTGGCGGCTGCAATACAGGGCATGTAATCTCAAATCCCTTTTTGGCCATTTTAGCACACTGGTTGGAACAGCCTTTTTTTCGTTTGATAAGGTTTCACTTTTTTTCCCCTGCTTGTTGCCCGCTCTTCCATAGAGTTTGTACACGTTTTTATTCCACAACTGCTTTTAGCACTAAAATAAATCTAATCGACTTTAAACTTGTCACCTACATGGAACATCAACTGCAGGTGGTGATGTTACGATGACGTCATCATGCATCTCGTGACATGTGTTTAAAGCTGCATTTTCAAAGGCCTTAATAGAGTAAAAACCCAGTTAATACTGAAAAGCACCTTGACATTTTTTCCCTACGCTCCAAAATCATGCAACTCATTACATTTTTAAGCCAAAACAGATCTGTGTTGGTATACAAACCCTAATCTCGTTCTTGTTTCTGTTTCTACGTTGACGTTGTCTTTATTTCTGAAGATCAAGACTTCTTGCTGTTTTGTCAAGCATCTCAAACACTGTACCCGGGGTACGACTGATCATGAGTAAGTTGTAAAGCTTTTTAATTTAATAAAATAACTTTCAGTTGATTCAGCTATTTTCAGCCGATAATAAGCCTTTTCGGAGTTCCAACTGCGCATTCGTAACCTGTGACTACGCGCATTGTTTGTCTCGAATGGCCTTTGACAACATCGCACCACTGACTTTACAAAAATGCTGTTTGTGCATTGTGGGTACTGTCAAAGGGCATTTGAGATAAACAATGTGCGTTGTCACAGGTTACGAATGCGTGCAGTTGGAACTCCGAAAAGGCTTATTTTGTTTAATGTGGGTGGGAGTGGCCTCTCTAGCTCAGCATTTAAAGGGGCTGAAAAATTCAGAACTTCTAATAACTGCAAAAGTGTTTGCTGCCAGTGCCATTTTTAACATGAAGATATTGTCTTAAATTGGGTAAAAATTCAGGGTTTTTTTTTGTTTGTGATTTCTTTGGTTTTTTGTTTCAAGGGAAGGGATTGGGGTTTGCATGAGATTCAGATCCAGATTCAGTTTCAGATTAAAGGGGCACTAGGTCCTGAAATCCCCGAAAATGTTATGTTTTGGATTGTTTACTTAGCCTATTTCAAACATCTGGTTGAAAGGAAACCAACCTAATGTCTTACCGTTCCTGAGAAAAGACGAAAAAAAACCTGCTTGTTTACATATCAGACATGACGGAGTACGAATACGTTTTTCGTGTTGTTCTCAGTGTACGCTATACCTCGGGAATTACAGCGCGCGGTGACAAATCACCAATACAAAAAAAATTATGGTTTCTTCAACGTCCGCAAAAGGCAAACACTTTACGCGTACGAATGAAATCACAACTAGCATCCAAACAGAGCGAATTTATGGGGTCGCAAAAGTGGACCCCGAAATTCGTTCTCGCATGCATAATACAGGAATAACACAAAAACGCCCAGTTTTGAAAGGATAGTTGTGTGGATGTTTATATCCTACTTTTAAATGTTATTTCCGATTATCATCATCTTGTTCAAAGCGCGTTTTGTAGCCCAATAGGGCTGTTCCAGGACCTAGTGTCCCTTTAAGATTTATTTATTCAGCCAATGATGAAAAACCAATCACAGAAATTTGTAATGTTGGACTCGTCTAAAAAAAAACTCATTGTAAAATACCATACAACTGTTTTTAATCGAACATGCCTCAACTTCATACGCCCACATACGTACAGCTTACTAGTTGATTGTATGCCTTATTTAAAGCTCTGAATATGTAATATGGAAATTCCATTTCTAGCAGAAACAAGTTCTCATTATTGGATTTCTTTTATTTCTGACTTCCAGACCCACTGATGGAGTACCTGCCGATTTGGCAAAGCATTTACTTTTACAACTGGGGCCGGTAGAGGGTCTGCATTTGACAGTTTTGTTAAGGAGAATACACAAGAAAGTGTGGATTCGTAATTTAAGAATTCACGAGTCGCGAAGTGCCGAGTGAATTCGTAAATTAAGAATCCACACTTGCGAGTGTATTCTTTGACTTAAACCATTGCGTCAACAGAAGTGTTGGAAAGAATGTTGCAACCTGACGCCACTTTTTTCTTCATATATCATCTCAATGAAGGCCATTTGTTGCAAAAATGATGATAATACATGAATCTGGGACTGCTAAATGTTTCCAATTTTGTTAGGAAATGCTTGAAATGTCTCTCCATAGACTTTGTACACAGGCGCGAAAGTGGCGGCAGGTTGCAACATTTTTTTTCCTGGCGTGTTTAGCATGTGTATCGCCACACCCGTACAACCAAGTCATTTTGAGTGTATATATGCTCCTTATGTGAAAAATGGATAGTACAGACGACGATTTCTTTCTGACTAAAAGTAGATTTTGCAGTGACGGCGGAGAATCTGACAGTGAAGATGCATTGGTAATTTTCGGAAATCATATTTTCACGCAGACGGTCCTATTAATGCTCATTATGGAGAACAATTGTCCGACGCGTTCAAAGTGTGGATTCGTAATATTAAGTCGCGCTGTGTATTATTGTGCAATGGCCCGCTTAACGTTGAGAGGGCGACAATTTCATCAAAATTTGATTTTCATTTTTTGTCATGAATTACATCTATAATACCTACAGCTTCAGGTTACATTCACATTGCAATGCAATGCATTGATTTTGATGAATTTTGTGTGCATTGTTCTGTTGTTCTACAACAAAGCCAGCCGTTTCAAAGCCTGTTTTCTCAGTTGTGTAATTAGAACTCCAAGGAAGTAATTAATATGCAATTATGTCATATCTCCAGAACAGGAGGGGCTATGGAGCTCTATTATATACCAAATGAAAGCTTACATCGTGGGCTTTCCAACCATGTATATAACTCAATGAGCCGGTCTCATATACATGTATGAGCAAAGATGTTTGTAAAGGTGTATGAGCATTTAGATGCAGGTCTACATCGCAGCTTGATATTCAAAACGAATTGGCCCAACTTCATAACTTGGGCCACTTGCCCGTTTTGGCTATATTAGAATATCTGTCATTCTCAATTAGGTGCACATATTTCCAATTGGGTATACCATGTGTGCCCTATTGATATATACCAGATGTTCCCAATTTTTGAAAACATAGAGAAGTCCTAGTGGAATCTTTCAAGTGTTCTGATCCCTGAGACGATCCCTAAGGCAAAAAAAAAAGTCTCCGGTTTCTGGTATGCGCGCGCGTCGCCGCAGCCATGCGCGTCGGCAAAATGAAAAAGTTTTTTTTTCAATACAAGATGATGTCTCAAAACCGCCAAACTCACTGGTTTGACTGGAATCCTGCTGCTGCACAATTTTAACGTGTTTTTAGATGGGGTTATGATCGAGAATAAGCTTTATGTGGCCTCTCTGGACTCCCATATATTTGCACTAAGTTTAGTCGGGCACCATTTGCAGTCATCAGCCGACATTTGAAGCCAAAAAAAAAAAAAAAAAACAGGTAAAAAAAAAAAAAAAGCCGCGTCGCCGCACCACTTTTGGGGCAAGCTCCATACCAGAAACCGGAGACTTTTTTTTTGGCCTAAGGGTGCATACCTGCAAATAAACTCCCATAGACACTAGTGCTAAATGCCCGTACTTCAAAATTCTTTTAAAAATACTCAAAACTCTCACAGGTATTCAAGCTGCACAGAAAAATGATGATCAATGTGTCATCTTTCATTTTCTTTTCAATTTATGGTGGGTTGACCATTGACTTTTCGAGATATTTTCACGCAAAGAAGACGACCCCTGTTTTCCCCAAAGCGGAAAAGTAGCCATCTTGAAAAACGATCCCTCCACAACATGGCAAAATAGCGCCACTTTCGAGCCCAATAGCATCCAAAATGCTCAGAATTGGAAGCCCCAAGTCCGGGCTAGAGGTTCACTACCATATCTCTTCAATTCCCCAATTTTACGGCGCTCAGAACTCTCTAATATAGAATATTTTGAGGGTATAACTTTTATTCATGAGCTTGGCGGATCGATTTACAGGTGTGTACCCCTAAACGACTTCAGTTTTGAAACTGCACAAATTTGGGCAACCGTACCGGTGCACGTACATCACATGGGCCAGATTAATGAGAAGCGTCGTCATCAAAGAACCATTCACACAGCACATCAGTTGGAAATGTTACAGCACAGTCCTTCATTGTTTATTTACACTTACTTGTTGAATTGTCCCTTTTTTCGGGTTTTATTGTTTTGTAAACAAATCTATTAAAAACAGTTGAGGGATTCTCTCTAATCTAGAAATAAAAAATAACAAAAATAAAAACTAAATTAAAGCAGAATTTTATCAAATCCAAAAAAGATGGACCAACATTTACCATTGAATTTAACATGTACATCATAGTGAATAAATCTACATTATGGCTATATTTACAACACTCATTGAACTCATTTTCAAATTCTGCTCGTTACTACATTTAGGTTGTAATAAAAACCAATCTTCATTGGATACATATCAGTAGTTCCCTATCAACAAGATGAGTTTTGTGGGCACCCTAATTAAAAAACAACAACTGTACATTATGTAGCAAAAGATTAATAGCTATCTGTTGTTAATTTTTAATTACACATGTATTTGTTCATTTATTGACAGGGAATAGTGGGAGGAAAAACAGTTTTGGGTTTCTTTCAGGGTTGACCTTTCAATATATGATGCGACAGATACCCAGGCAAAGAGTACTTTTCAGATTAGAAAAATAACGTGCTGTTCTCCAAATCCAATAACTATTATTTTTTTGATGAAAAATTATGTAAGAAGTAAAAAAATATGGTTACTGCCAGCAATTTTTTTGTTTACAGTTTAGTTTACTGATGGGGTTTACTGATTGGTAAAAGGGTCGTTCTATGAATTTAAGGTCCTAGATTGTGACACTTTTCCTGTCCCTCTTACCTTGGCACTTCGTAATTTACATTTACCATTCAAGTAAGAATGACTTCCAACAATGTTTTATTAGTTGGTTAATTTGCTTTTCATAATCACTCTTGAAGCACAACGGTATTAAGGAGTGCTTCAGAATTATAACATTATTGATGTCAGATGTAACAGGGACAGGAAACAAAAATTGTGTACCCCAAATTTATAGAATGACCCAAATATGTTAAAGAAACTGCGCTTACTCGATACATTGTAAGCAACTTGACCGGAAATCATCCTGGATGTTTTGAGATAGGCCCTTAATGTATTACACAGTAAAGAATTTTCCTTAGCATTTTGGCGCCTTAAAGGGAATGTACATCATTGGCTTTTGCTGTAATTTTCAGAAATGAACTATTTGAGGGGTTAGTATAATAGATCAAATATTGTTGAACTGACATGTTTGAAGTTTTGTGTTCGAAAATGCTTGAAAAACCAAGAAAAACAATAATGTTTAAGTAGTCTGGTTCCCTGACTCCACTAAAGATAAAATGGATCAATTTATAGATGTCGGAAAATTGTAAGGTAAGGGAACCAGTCTAGCTGGCCTGCACCCGTTCATGAACATGTAACCAATAGCAAACAAAATTTGGACTAAAACAAAATTGCAAATTTGGAGCAGTAGTTGAAAAATAGTTAGGTTTTTCCAACGGCATGAACGGTGGTCGGCCGACCACCATTGGAAATGAATACAAAAATACCATTTTCTTGATAATGACTTCACACCAGGTGCCATAATTTTACAGGATGCTTTTGACTGTCATTTACCAACATCTTAGTAAGGTATTTCGTAAAAACTTGGTAGTTTTATTTTTCGATGTTTGCAAATGTTGTTTTAAAACAAACCATCTTTTTAAATGGAGTATTTACCCATGTTTTTCTAGACTTTTTTTTTTTCATGGGCACTTTTTTTAATCAGGTCATCAACATGTGAGAATAGTTATCAAGAAGAAGTGTAAAATCAGGAGATTCGTTATTGTAGAAATGACTAAAAGCGCAGTTAAAAGATTTGATGAGAATCGATTTAATTAAGATCGACGCCATATCTATTGAAAACATTTCTGCTACCTGTTTGTTCTCCTTACCTCCACAACTCAAAATCTTGAACTAAAACAGAGAATAACAGTTGTACGCAGGAATAACAGAATACACCAGTCGAATGGGCAGATAGAGCAAAAGTTGATCCAATTTAGAAATATATGTTAGTTTGAAATAATATAGCTACACACTTTACTCATAACGAATCTAAACTATTTTTTTAATCACGTGGACAAGCCAGACCATGTAGAATATGTAAATTGTGCAAAATAAAAACAATGGATCATGTGACTGCAATGGCCCATGTCATCAGCCTTATAATGTATGTCCGAGTTGAAAATGGCTCCTCCATCAAACAGATCATTTGGCACTGGCTAAGGTAAGACTACGGAAGCGTTAAAGGGACATAATAGACTCAAAAAAAGAAGAAGTCATAATTATGACATATCTTTTAATTATGATAAATATATCATAATTACGACTTACTAATTGTTAAATCATAGTTATGACATATCTCATAATTATGACTTATTATTAAGTCATATTTATGACTTAGGATATCTCATAATATTGACTTAATACTAAGTCATAATTACGACTTAATACTAAGTCGTAATTATTAAGATATAAGTCATAAATATGACCTAATACTAAGTCATAATTATGACCTAAAACAAAGTCATAATTATGATTTAACAATTACTATTTAAGTCATAATTATGATATATGAATCATAATAATTACTTAATACTAATTCATTATTATAAGATACAAGTCATAACTATGACTTACATGTAATAAGTCGAAATTATGACTTATTTTTTATTTTTTTATTTTAGCCCATTTCAAGGGTGTTGGAATAATGCGAGACCTGACACTTTTAAGTACATATTTAACTGTATCTTAACATGCTGGTATGGGCTCCGGCAAAAGTACTCCCCTCAATGCCTGCAAAGGGATAGCAGAGGGACACCAGTGGGAGGGACATTCAAACACATTGCTCATCAGGTCAGGACTCGGCATGTATGTGCACATTTAACCAGTTTGCGCCGGGACTACTTTGACAAGAACAGAACGAGGCGCAGGATTACTTTTCACTCGACCTCAAGCCAGGCGGGTTGAAGCCATCAACTTCGGGTTGACACTCATATTTTCCGCCTTGCTCGCTGCGAGCGGCCTCGCTCCATGTGTGTTTATCCGACATCCTTTCCAAATGCCGCAAAAAAATCTGTTCGTGTATACACGTCATCCGGCGCAAACTGGTCAAAGGTAGAGTAGATCATTTGCAACTATCCAAAAATTGACTGACCAAATTATTGTTGAAAACCTTACTCGGTTTAAAGATAGTAATGGCACTAAACTTTCTGCGAAATTATTTAAAAGAAAACAATAAAAGAAGGTCATTTCCAAAGATACATCAAGTGACACATTTTTGGAAATGTTCATTAGTAGCTGGTTTGTAATTCGGTGAATCAGTAAATGGGTGTGCACAAGCGTTGACACCACACACATCATGTGGTTGCTATTTTTCTTTGGTTCAGTGCGTGACATCGCATAGCTGCAATCGGCTGAATGACAATGTGTCCCGGATGCTGATTTCAGGGGCAACTTGAATTGAAATCAGGGGCAACTTGAATTGAAAATCGAGATCCTATGGAATATTTTCTCGGGATATACAACCTTCACTGAGCTAAAACTTAATCAAATTAGTTGTTAAGCCCCCGTCTTTAGAGTCTGAGCACTTTTGTTACTTCCCCCCCCCCCATCAAAACAAATGCACAAATGATCTACCCTAACTTTAAAACACAAAAGACGTGCAGTTTGTGCCAGTACATGTACGTACTGACGTGTCCAAAAGTGGTCACCAAGCACCATCTACTGTTTCTGCACGGAGCCGATAGCCCCGACAATTCAAACAAAATTCTAATAACAAAATCATAAATACTATCATTTATGGATTGAAGCACTGTATCTACAACTGAAACTCATGTACATGTACCTCATGAATATTCATTGTCATGACATCATTAACTTGAATAACTGTAATAACAGATTCATGATTATTTTTTTTTTTTGGTAAAATCAAATATTGAATTAGTATTTTTTACTCATAAAAATCTACATTTGGCCCTTTGTACCCATGCAGGATGCATACCTATGTTCCCCAATATCTATGTTACCCAATACCGAAATTCCCCAACCCCTAACTCTAATACTAAGGATTTCGGGGAACATCGGTATTGGGGAACATCGGTATTGGGGAACATTAGGTAGACCCCCCCCCCCATGCATCGTGCCAAAATTAGGTACACCCTGTACAAGCTAAGACGTAGCTTGCAGCAATGGCAACTTGCTCCACCCCCCCTCCCCACATTTAGTCAAATTGTTTTATCTGAGAGATAAACAACTGGTATTAAAATCAGATATTTCAAAATCCTGTTATCCTCTTTTTTTTTCAAACCGAATAACGATTATCTGATTTCACCGGAAGTTCCCATTCATGTCACAGTAATAGTTATAATAATTTGGGAAGCTAATCATCCTTTAATACTGGCAGCTGAGAAGCTAAAGTGCGAAGGACCCGGCTACAACGTGGTCGCGCCGCTGGCATGTACTTGCGTCTTTGGCAGCAAGCCACATCGACCAATATGACCATGGAGCACAGCCTGAGATCGAAAAAGTTTGATTTTTCCGGAGGGAGTAAAACCGGAGGGCCTGGAGAAAAACCCTCGTGGCACAGGAGAGAACCAACGCACAACTCTACTCACATGTGGCATGTATGGTCAGCGGGCGGGATTCGAACCAGGGCCACAGTGGTGAGAGGCGAGTGCCTTACGCACAAGCCACCCATGTCAACAGAAAGTGAAGAGTGAGGTGCAGCATGCAATGGCCTCCAAGATAATTGTTTTGCAACAATCATTGACCACTTGGCCTTTACAAAAACACTCCAGAGTTGAAATAGTGAAAAAAATTGATGGCAACTCTCTGATCAGTCGAATGAGCAGGCTACTCATGAATCAAGATGATCATTTAAAAGCGAGTGCGGTCACAATCAGAGACCATGGAGCAATTTGCAGGATGTTCCAGATATTTTTGTAAGCTTGTGTCACAAAAAAAATTGAAGAATTAGGCCACCCCAAAAAAGTCTCCGGTTTCTGGTATGGAGCTTGCCCAAAAAGTGGTGTGGCGACGCGGCTTTTTTTTTTTTTTAACCTGATTTTTTTTGCTTCAAATGTCGGCTGATGACTGCAAATGGTGCCCGACTAAACTTAGTGCAAATAAGAGAGGCCACATAAAGCTTATTCTCGACCATAACCCGATCTAAAAACCCGTTAAAATTGTGCAGCAGCAGGATTCCAGTCAAACCAGTGAGTTTGGCGGTTTTGAGACATCATCTTTCATTGAAAAAAAACTTTTTAATTTTGCCGACGCGCATGGCTACGGCGACGCGCTCGCATACCAGAAACCGGAGACTTTTTTTTTCGCCTTAAAGGTTGGTTTTGAATATCCGGTTTCCAAAATCCAAACAGAATATTGGAATTCAAACCAAACATTAAAATCAGGATGTTAATCCCACTACTAGTATTTGTAACACCCCCTCCCTGCTTTCAACAATTACTTCGAATAAACAAAAAACATAAGGCTAACCCTTTAAAAACAAAACAAATTACCCCCCTCCCCGACTCAAAACCTTGATACTTTGCTGGGAACACCACTTGGGAATGTGTTTGCTTCCAAATGGAAGATCTTGAGCTATTAAAAGCAGTACATTAGCCAAGTCTTGTCAGTCTTAACTCTGTAGAAACTAACTTCATAACGGTTAAAAGAGAGATTAACTCGTTAACGGTTAAAAAGAGAGATTTAAGTAAGACTCTTGAACACATTGCCACTGTGCACATGGTGCACACGCGAACGCGCTACAGGTTTGCGCATATTGAAATGAAAGCCAAGTCTGGCATCTTTCCCACCATGGTTAAAAAGAGAGATTTAAGCAAGACTCTTGAACACATTGCCACTTGTGCGCATGGTGCACACGCGAACGCGCTACAGGTTTGCGCATATTGAAATGAAAGCCAAGTCTGGCATCTTTCCCACCATGGTTAAAAAGAGAGATTTAAGCAAGACTCTTGAACACATTGCCACTGTGCGCATGGTGCACACGCGAACGCGCTACAGGTTTGCGCATATTGAAATGAAAGCCAAGTCTTGCATCCTTCGCACCATGCACGCTAGAATGCATGCGTGACCCAGTGTCTCCTCTCACGGAGCAGCCACGAGCGGTCACGATTGCCAACTAATGTTCATGCACAAAGTCCACACTGCCAGCGCACTAGCTACACATTTGCATTCTGTACACAAATATATTAAAAAAAGAAAGCCAGCATACAGTGTGTACATGTATTTACAAACCTTGCATGTTTTGTTTGCAAGAAAACATTGGCAGACGTGTATCAATTCATCTTCTCAAAGAATTCAAAAGCTTTTGAGCAGAGAACTTTCATTACCCTGAAGTTGAGCTGACCATACAGTGTTAAAGACCATTGCACTATACAAGGGCAAAGGCGACCATGAAACTCTTCCACTATTTTTTTGTGGAAGAGAAGCTGAGCTGACCATACAGTGTTACAAAAGAGAACGACGAATCAACTCATCTTCTCAAAGAATTCAAAGAGCTTTTGAGCAGAGAACTTTCATTACCCTGAAGTTGAGCTGACCATACAGTGTTACAAAAGAAACGTTGCACATTCACGACTTCCCTCGCAGTGTTGTAGTCGAGACCCTGCAAGACCATCACAAGACCATCACAAGACCAACCCAAGACCTCCAGTCTCGAGTCAAGTCATAAGCTATTCAAATGAACTGCAACAACGGCATTCCTTTGTCATTGTTCGTGCCCTGTTACTTGTGGCTGGTCTTGTGGCTGGTCTTGTGGATGGTCTTGTGTCTGGTCTTGTGATGGTCTCGACTACAACACTGTTCCCTTGTATTCACTGCACTATACAAGGGCAACAGGGACCATGAAACTCTTCCATAATTGTTTTGGAGGAAATGCAGATGTCACAAAGGATTGCGTGGTAAACTCACCACCATGCTTAACCCACCCTCTCTGGCCAGGAACTTTGACAGCCATCCCATCAGTCAAAACCCACCAAGTCACTGTTTAAACAGTTGAGTGCTCCCTGCCTTCATAAAGAAGGATTGACTGTTTATGTAACTTGATACAGCTTTGCCTTGACTACAGGTGATTGATAAGCCAGCTGTTTTCCGACTTCTGTCCGTTGATGGAATTTGACTGGTCACAGTGTTTACATGAAATGTGATCCAAATGTTGGTGACTAGCCTGTGTAAAGGCATGGCAGGGAAAGAGGATCATATTCTTGACTTGACTCTTTGACTGGTCAGACAGCAGGAGGGTTGCACGTGTCATGTGCATGTGGAAGTGTGACCCCTGGTCAAAGGTTAGACTAAATTTGTCCTAGAGCTAAAAATATTTTAAGGTCACCAAAATGCGGAGTCAGGTTGGCGTTGTGGTACTTTCCTCGCCTTCCACCGCTGTGACTCGGGTTCGAATCCCGCCTGAGCCAATATGTGGATTGGGTTTTCAGTCCCTACCTGATTCCGTGGGTTTTCTCCCAGTATATTCTCCCGGAGTTTTCCTTCCACCTCTAAAACTGAAATTGCTTCTTATTGCCTTCTCTCTACAGGTTTCTTCAGGCTTGTGAAATACAGTGCCTAGATAGGGCGCTTTTGAGGAATCCTTGGTTTCATAAAAATAGTATTAATAATACCACAGATATCTATCTGCCATGCGTTGCAGATATTGGTCATGTCCGAGGCAAAACCGAGGGTGCTATATGCCTTGAGGGGGTTATAAACGGCATATCCCATATCACAGCAGTCAACAATTGTGTGCAGTGGGCGGGGCCTAAGGGATGGGTCTATTGTGCCAGGTCATATTTGTCGGAGCAGTCTGTGTCTATTTTCACCCTCTTGAAACGCGGCACTGATGCTGCTTATCATTTGATGTGCATTGGCGGCGGCGTTGCAATGTGATGGTAGACTTTGTCCGGTTTCCGCTTGCGTCGTCTCTCCCCGTCTTCCCCGCTACTCGAGGGGCGGGCCGGCATGGGTAAGGGGGAGTTGTTCTCCACCCTGTCCAGCAGGTGCGTGTACTCAGGTAGGTGTTTCACCATTAGCTCGCTGAAGCTGCAATTTAGAGACGTGGCCGTCCGCCCAATTTCCGATTCCTCCTGTTGGGCAAAATGTGACCAGATCCCACAAAATGAGTCTTGAGGACAATATGTGTTTGTCTCAGATGGTTAGCCCATTGTCCTCTTTGCATGCCGTGCATCCCTCTTTTAAGACAAAACCTGAGTACAGAGTTTATATTTGGGTTTTTGGAATAAGCCATTTGCGAGTGACCTACATTCTTTGGGATTTAAGTCTGAAAAACATCTAGTACACTGACTTGCTCAGAATGCTTGGCACATTTTAACTTTGAATTCTCCATGCTAATCACATGATTCAGGGTAAGCTCTTGCATAGTGTTGCGTAAGAGACGCTCAGCACCAATACATTGTTCAGAATGGTTGAAAATGGCACAAAGACACCAGACCATGCTGAAGCTGGGGGTTGCTAGCATGAGGCTTGCCCCGGTTCACGTGATATAGTAACAGTCTCTTTGGTTGGGGAATGCAAAGTTAAAACGAGCAAAGCATTGGATTAAGTCAGCGTTTTATTACGTCAGATTTGATTCATATTTAACTCGCAAATGGCTCATTCACGTCCTTTTATATAATTAGCTGTATCTCTGGACTGGGGTGTCTAAATGAGATGGGATAAAGACCAGTGTGTATAAAGTATTTACCTTTAGACTACATGTATAGCTAAAGTTTTGCAAAAAGAGAGTGCTAGTGTTTTCAAAATGTATGGATTGACTGCTACTGCTGTTTATTGACACACGCTGTACATACGGTTGGCGAAAACGTGGACCGTTCCTGTTGATTTCCATTGCATTAAAAGACCCATGACTCAAAAGTAGCTTTGGCAACATTAATACAGTAAACTCCGGCTAAACCAGCACTCCCAGGACCCAAGAATTTGTGACGACTTACGCGAATGCCGATATATGCTATAAGTCGTCATTTTGCTGACTTACATTAATGGTCTTTTGCACACATGATTCATTGCATTAATTGGCTTCGATTTACCCTGGATTATCTCCCTAATGCTTGAGTTGGATTGTATCATCACGTTTGGGGTATTGATAGTGGAGACCACGATACATATGTACGTGCACAGTAACAAATTAAATGCGTGCATGGTCCGGTATATACCACGCACGCACTGACTGCAGCAGTAGTCATTCAATAGGATGACCCCCAAAATGGACAGAGCGCATGTGTACAGACTAGAGGGGGTACTGGTATTGATATGCTCACGATGCATATGCGATGTATGCGGCAAAGATCCTATAGCGCCGCGTAGTGGGATGCAGTAGGACACCCTTTTTCGACACCGATGTATGCGATCACAGGCCGTGCGAAACCATTATCCACTCGACACTTTGCCAACCACAGTACAGGAAGTCGATGCCAATGCGTGATTTGTTGAATGCCGACTTACACAAAGGATTTTGTAATGCTTTTTATGGAAAGGGGACCGAGAGTAACCCGACGACTTGAGCGAAATGGCGACTTATAAAAGCCGACTTAGAAATAAAAATTTCAATGGAAATGCAGGACTTTAGTCAGAAGGCCGACTTGAGTGATTTGACAAGTTGTACGATGTCGGTTTAGCTGGAGTTTACTGTAGTAATAGTCTCTTTTGTCGGGAGAATGCAAAGTTAAAATGTGCAAAAGCATTGGATTAAGTCAGCGTTTTATTAAGTCAGATTATATTCAAATTTAACTTGCAAATGGCTTATTCACGTCCTTTTATATAATTAGCTGTATCTCTGGAATGGGGTGTCCAAATGAGATGGGATAAAGACCACTTGTGTAAAGAGTATTTACCTTCAGACTATAGATAAGTTTTGCAAAAAGAGAGTGGTAGTATTTTCAAAATGCATGGATTATGACTGCTGTTGCTACATTGACGCACGCTGTACATACAGTAGGCGAAAACGAGGACAGTTCTTGTTGATTTCCATTGCATTACAAGTACCATGATTCAAAAGTAGCTTTGGCAACATTAATACTAATTTTGTTGAGTTGGGCCACAAATGAGGATATGTTATACCGGTAAGTGCACTGCCAAAAAATGATGTCTTAGGCCCAAAAAAAAAAGTCTCCGGTTTCTGGTATGGAGCTTGCCCAAAAAGTGGTGCGGCGACGCTGCTTTTTTTTTTTATTTAGCCGATTTGTTTTGCTTCAAATGTCGGCTGATGACTGCAAATGGTGCCCGACTAAACTTAGTGCAAATATATGGGAGTCCAGAGAGGCCACATACAGCTTATTCTCGACCATAACCCAATCTAAAAACACATTAAAATTGTGCAGCAGCAGGATTCCAGTCAAACCAGTGAGTTTGGCGGTTTTGAGACATCATCTTTCATTGAAAAAAAACTTTTTCATTTTGCCGACGCGCATGGCTACGGTGACGCGCGCGCATACCAAAAACCGGAGACTTTTTTTTTTTGGCCTTAAGAATTAGTATACAGTCAACTCTCATTAACCCTAACCCTGCCAGACGCAATACAGTGCATCAGGTGGAAAAGTCTGGTGCACTTTGATGCATTCAGCTACCAACACCAGAGCATAAACGGCCGCTTATGAGACAATGAGAGCTAGTCCCATTGAACAATGCCACAGTTGTATCCTGCTGCGTTCGGGGACCACAGACTCTGAGGCAGTTTGGCCTTGAGACTTTTGGCCTGATGGATCTTGCTGCACTGGGCAGGCTTAATTGTCACTTAGACAACTGTTGCATGTTTCTACGCTTGGCAGGGTTTCTAGCCAAAATACCCTGGAGTGTTAGGGTCCATACAGAAACACTGTTAATATAAAGCCTGGGTCCTGACTGAATTTATGAGTACGGCGAAAAGGACCAGCACTCCACTTAATACAAAATTCTGATATACCAAACATTATGGGCTAGGTCCAGCTGAGTTTGTATTTCACGAGTCGACTGTATTGCAACTGCATATCAATCGTTGGAAGACACGACATCTGCAGTTTTTCTGGTACAGTCGAGTCTTGTTAATACAAACTCGTTCGAACCTAGCCAAATTGTTTGTCATATCAGAAGTTTGTATTAAGAGGAACATCAGTCCCATTCATTGTGCACATCAATGCACAGTCGGGACCAAGGCCTTATGTTTGTTATAACCAGAATTTTGTATTAACAGAGTTTGTACTAACAAGAGTCGACTGTATATAACACATAAATTCCTACTTTTGTGGCCTGATAGCCACTGACGATACTCACCCCGTTGTACACGTGGCAGTTTCGGATCATCAGTTTGAAGTCGTCAACAAATTCTAGAATAGTCTGGTAATGGTTAAAATGGGACGTCTGCAGCCGGCTCCGTATGGTGCCCAGCTCCATCGGGTGTTGTATGATCTTGTGGTAGTTGGGCACCTGGTCAAAGGACGGACATGTTTTTCAGTCTTAGGGTTTTTTCGAAACCTTTGCTTCAACTTCGGCTTCGCCTTCTACCTCTGAATCACTGAGAGGCAAACTAAACGAACTTATTTCAACTTTTGTCTTCATATCAACCGATTGAAAGTTCCTGAAGCATAACAGGCACCAAAATATAGCTGGAGTCCCCGAAGTCGGGGCCTAAAATGTCATTAAGCCGAAGACGAAGCCAAAGCCAGTCGTTTCGAAAACGCTGATAATGTTAACCAATACGTAGTCAGGTGCTCAATCTACACTGATGTATTAAAGTCCTAGTACCAAATGGCAAATGCATTGGGCTTGCAATTGTACAAAGCAGTTGCCTTACATGTACATATCTAATGGGCCTTATTCTTGCACAAATAAGGATGTTATAACGACGCCATTTGGGTATAGACATGAATTCAAGATTATGACTGATGTAACAGTTACAATTTTAGTAAGTTACAGCTTTAGAACCTTCTGGACATGATTTCAAGATTATTACTGACTAGTGCAGTGCCCGTCTAAAATGTGCATGTTTGGGAAGCGCAAATTGCTTTGCCGCTGGTATCGGTTGCATACTTGCAGAGTTTTGGAGAACTGCTCGTGCAAACAACGCACGCGATTCAATGGTGTTGTTTTCACAGGTTGAACGCACACTCGCGTCAAAGTTTGTGCCAAGTTTGAAGTTCGACCGCCTACAATGGTCGCTCAGTCGACTGCAAAATGCATGCGCCCGTGTACATACGAAAACATGGTATGCGGTGCTATTCACCCATACTGGACGGGGTCCCCTCACAAGTCCGACGCCTCATAGGTCCGACACAATCGCATCCCCTAACCAAATAAAGGCCCATAAGTCCGACGCCTCATAGGTCCGACGCCTCATAAGTCCAATGCCTCATAGGTCTGATGCCTCATAGGTCCGACGCCTCATAGCTCTGACGCTTCGTAAGTCCGACAAATTAAATACCTCGTTTTTCCGTTGTCGGACTTATGAGGCGTCGGACCAATGAGGCGGAATAAATAAATGTTATGCCTCATAAGTCCGACGCCTCATAAGTCCGAAATTTCGGACTTATGAGGCGTCGGACCTATGAGGCGTTGGACTTATGATACGGCCCCTACTGGACAATGTATCACCCTACAATGCACGTGCGCGTGCCCGTCCTTTTTGCATTGTTTACGTCATATTGAGCACGCGCGCTTTAGCTTAAACATGACGTAAACAATTGAAAAGAACGGCAGTGCGTGGTGTTATGTTCTAAGCTGCCACGTTTGCCTCCGAAAATACTGGTTTTTTTGCAGCTTTTTCGAGAACCCCTCATCCAAACCACTTCAAACTTGGCACTGCACATTCTGTGGCCCCGAGCAATACACCCGCAGGGGTTTTCCTTAACTTTTTTCTTTACTGGCCGGCCGGGCCAGTAAACCAGAGTTTTCACTGGCCCGCAACCTTTTTCACTAGCCCACATGTTTTAATAGTAACTTTCAATCAAATCACCATAAGCATTTTTGATAACATTTTTGATAATAAATTATGCAATATGCCTTCGGCAATTATCTTAATCATGTACATAATATTGCATGTAGTTCCTTTTTAAGTGATGTCAATGTTTCTTTAATCGTGCTTTAACATAGAGCAAGGCTTTAATTAACAGGAATCAAATGGGGGAGAAGTTATAATCAAAATTTATGCAGTGTCCTTCGTTCCGAACTTAAGGCTTTAGGTGTTCTATTTCCGACATGTTTTGATAAAACACGAACTAAAAAAGCGTTATCTTGAGGAACAAGAAAACATTGCACACAGTCGTGGTATTAATGGGAGTTTACCAAGTTAGTAACTGAACTGTTTTAACTTGTTTGAAAATGAGTGAGAAGGCCAGTATTTTAAAAAAAAACATCTCTCGCGCGCGCCATGCATTTCTAGCGAAGAATGGTGCAATCAGCGTGCCTAGCCAAGAAGCGCTGCGGGCTGGCGACCCACGAACTTACGCTGGTCACGTCAATCCATAACGTTTTCCGGAGCACGGTCCACTTTACATTCACTAGTCTACATTCAAAATAGGCCCCTCGAATCTCATATTGTCCTCATCTTTTCGGTACATTCGTTTGATAGTGTTCAAGAAATCATCCCAAGAATCCGTTCGGGCACAAGTTTTGGCAGTGAAACTGTCATGAAAGTTTTCTCCTCACCACGTTGTATGATACGAATACGATGTTAACGTACGTACGTCCGTACCGTGTGGACTGCAGACGAAGTAAATCACGTGCGCTGCATGTGTGCACAATGTGTAATGGCAAATACACGTTGATTCGCCTCATGTTCATCGTTGGGATTTCAATGCACAGCACACTGCGAATATACATGGAGTGATACGAATTCGAACTACCGATGTTTTTATTTTGGTCGGCGTGGCAAAAGTATTCATGTGTTGTATCACCCTTAACTTTTTATTTTGATTGATTGAAAAATACTGTAGGGAAAACTTCGTTAGTTTTATTTTTTTTAAACAGTTTTTTGAATCGCCCGTCGGACTAATGAGAGGAGGGTTTTTACTCGCCCATTTGGCGAGCGGGCGACCGCTAAGGAAAAACCCTGCACCCGCCGATTTTCAATTTCATGCAGTGCCCGGTTCTGGAGATAATCGACGGACAGACAGACAGAGATTCCTTGAATTATAGTAAGATGTTACAGTAACAATTTTATTTAGTTACAGTTACAATTTTTGACTTCCGGACATGATTTCAAGATTATTACTGATGTACATGTACCATTTACAGTTTTAGTTAGTTTCAGTTACAGTTTTAGAACCTTCTGGACATGAGTTCAAGATTATTACTGTTTCAGTTACATTTTTAGTTAGTTTACAGTTCAGGTTTTAGAACCTTCATTTTTTAGATGTATGTAAAATGATCAAACTGCTTAAAAAGAATAGAAACATTCTGTTTTTGTACTCAGAAAATGGCCAGTTACAGCATCCTTTAATTAACCTTTAATCAACTGACTTACCGATCTGCTTACTGGATCATGGAATGGTATACTATCTTCACTGCAGTAAAGTTCTAAAAGCACTTTCTCACAAAGCTGAAAAAGAACCAATCAAAAAAATGGAGAAAGTCATATTTAATTTGACGTCACACGACATGACACACGACAATACATGTAAAATGCTCCTGTCTATGTACATACAAAGTTTCAACCCAATCAGAATTGTCGTTCTGTAGGTATAAACATCGGGTTTTAAATTCATTCATCCTTAAATTTGACGTCATTGTGTCATCACTTGAATGTTTACCCTTATTAGTCCCTGTCTATGTATGTACCAAGTTTCAACCCAATCAGACTCTTGCCTTGAGTATAACCTCCGACTTAAAAATGTGACCTTTGACCAAAATGTGTGACTTTCGACCTAAAAAGTGATGACCCTGGACCTAAAAAGTGATGACCCTGGACCTAAAGATTGACTTTCGACCTAAAATGCGATGACCCTTGACCTGCCATACCATTTTTTCCCTCTCCGGTAGCGCTGAGCTGATTCGACGTTTCCGCCCGCTGGTTGGAGGTGACTGGCTCCTTGCATTGGCAATGCTGTCCGGTGACTGGCACAATGTGCAAACCCAGGAATCACTGGACAGAGATAACACCAAATAAACCGTCATTGTCTGGAGCCGAATTTCATCCTGTCGTACAAATGTACCTGTGAGGCCCTAGTCTGAGTATCACCCGTTATCCACGGAGCCATCTCCTGTCTAACGTCTGATATGTCAAAGCATGCAGATTTATGCAAGCCGCGCGCCAGCCAATCGGAGTCGACTTTACTAAATCGTGACGTCACTTCATCCCAAAATCAGGACTAACGCTGTGATTGGTCAATTCAAATGCAGCGTTTTGCAATACAACAGCCGGGAGCGCATTCGCGTAACATGATACCGAGCACCGCGCGCCGTGATTGGTCAATTCGAATGCAGCGTTTTGTAATACAACAACAGCAGGGAGCGCATTTGTACCGAGGGCCGCGCGCCGTGACATTTTTGTTTTTTTAAATCCTTGTATATGACGCGCAACAGGTGAATGACCGCAGACCCGACAGACCTTTAGAAAGCACCAGCTGATTGGTCAAAATCTAGGAAGTCAAGAGGCGGGGTCTTGCCTAATTAATCAGCAAATCTGTTCGCGCATAATAGACCATGGCATTCGCCGTGGTCTATTACATAGACTAGTGAGGCCCCAGTACTCAGCAGAAAATTGCATGTTGACGAAATGAAAATTCAGCCCTCTATCAGAAGTCTGATAAGGTTCTCATTGAATCCTGTTATATGTATACAAGTGAATCCATGGTCTCACTCCCATATACCTCTCAAACAGCATTTCATTCTACAAACCTTCACGACCCGGATTACGCTCTGCCACAGACACAACCCGGCTCGTGGTGCCTAGGGGCCAAAGGATGGACGCGGAGAGGTCATTCTCTATCTGTGCCCCTAGATTGTGGAATGATCTCCCATCAACCATCAGACTGGCTCCTACATGTAGCCCACAAACCTTCAGAAGCCTCCTCAAAACACACCTGTTTGCCTGATCTCTTAGGCCAACAAAAAAAAGTCTCCGGTTTCTGGTATGCGGGCCCGCGCGTCGCCGTAGCCATGCGCGTCGGCAAACTGAAAAAGTTTTTTTCAATGAAAGATGATGTCTCAAAACCGCCAAACTCACTGGTTTGACTGGAATCCTGCTGCTGCACAATTTTAACGTGTTTTTAGATGGGGTTATGATCGAGAATAAGCTTTATGTGGCCTCTCTGGACTCCCATATATTTGCACTAAGTTTAGTTGGGCACCATTTGCAGTCATCAGCCGACATTTGAAGCAAAAAAGTTGGGTTAAAAAAAAAAAAAAGCCGCGTCGCCGCACCCCTTTTTGGGCAAGCTCCATACCAGAAACTGGAGACTTTTTTTTTTGGCCTTATGTTTCTGGTATTTTTTGCTATTTCCTCTTTCAATGTATCTGTTTATGTTTATTTGTTTTTGTTTGTAAAGTGCATTGATCATTAATTTGGAACTGCCATATATAAGCACCGATATTATTACTACTATTACTGTAATAGGGCGACAGGTTTTGCAAACACCGTCCACAATAGGGCGATACACCTTATTGAGGCGACAAAATGACTGTCGCTCTTTTATGAAAACGACCCCTAGGACAAGGAATTTTGCTGTCGCTAACCATCTAGATCGATTCCTCATGGTCCAATTAGTATAAATACTAAATTTCATGGAAAAAACATAAGGTAAACTTGGGTTAGGTGACAGTTTAGGTTTCTGCACAAGTCTATGGGAAAGTCACCCTATTGGGGCGAAAAGAGTAATTATTATTATTATTATTATTTAATTATTATTATTCATTTTATTAACAGGTTGTCCAATAAATTCTTGATAAATATTTTTTTGTCCAGCAGTACACTTGAGCTGCAGAATCAGTTTTACGTGAAAAGCGAGATTAAAAAAAAAAAGGGGTTGAGGTTTTTTCCCCCTCCAGTTTTACCTCGGTGTTGCCGAGAGGGAGGGGATGTGACAATACAGGTGATAGACCCGAGGACAACTGTCACAGCACAGGAGGTCCCCACCGTTGTGACACACCGCACACCAGTCCTCGTTGGGGTCGGAGTTGTGGCCCCGGGGGGACATGTGTTTGCCCCCGTTCTCCTGGCTGTCGTTGAGATGGAGCGGGGGAACAAATTCCTGAAGATATAAAAAGTTACACCCGAGGAGAGATGCGTCAGTTTTCAGGAATGAGCCAATTTCACGGAGCTGTTAAAGCTACAGTCCATCATTTGTAATTTGTGCATGTTGTTCGTTTGAAGCAACAAAAGAGTTCAAAATCTAATGAAGGATACTGAACAACTAACCTGATGAAGTTTCAGCTCAGCTTCAGCTGTACATTCCGAGAAAAACAGCATTCTAAGATCTCAATTTCAAATCAAAAGTTACTGAATCATGTTTTGAATTGTTTTGAATTGCAGCTATACGCGACGTAGCGCACTGATCCGACGAATTACAACAACCGCGCGCGCGTGTGCGTCGTTCCAATACTTGTGCGTGCTGCACTGAATAACAAAACGAACTACTAATTTAAATTTTCCTACGGTGCTTCTTAAGAATCACCGTTGGAACTGCCTTCTTTCGTTAATTACTTCAAAATGACAGCTTCTCAGAAAGAATAATTTCACAGGGAGTTTAGTTTCCTTACTATCTTTCAACCAAGTTTGTTTTTCAACAATAATTACGCCAGTTACTTTTGGGATGGCTGCAAATGATGGACTATAGCTTTAAGCAAAGACATTTGCAAAGGAAAGTACAGTCTAACACCTTTATAACAAGGTCCTTGGGACTTTACAAATTACCTTGTTATAAACAGGTACCTTGTATTAAATAGTTATCGTTATCTTTATCGTTATCTTTGTCAAATTTCTTAATTATTGCATACATATCTGTATATTTTTTATCACAACTGATACCATATGACATTTGTTTTTATCTGTAAAATGGAATTTTTAATTAATGATTATTGGCATGTCAGAGATACTTTTGGGTTAAGACAGTTTTTGGACCTTTCAATGTAAAAGTACTTGTTTATTTTAAATTTAATTTAATTTATTTTATTTAATGTATTTGTATTAGCATGTTTATCTGTTGACTGGATCCAATTCAATCTTTGATTGCCACATCAAGTCTAATGAAAATAAACCATTTATCTATCTATCTAATGGAAAACATAGAAAAAACAAAGACTTCGGGCCTAAAATGTTGCTTGTTATCTGGTCATAAGCAGGATGTTGAATTAACAGTGCTCTTCTCATCAGGGTTCGACTGTAGTGTGTGCATGTATTAGCTTTAGCAAGTTAATGCTACCAATTAAAAAGTCATGCTGTTAAAGGCGAGAATGCAAAATTAAACAGGTGCGTACTTGAGTTTACCTGGAGGTTTGAGATTTCACGGGGACATATATGTAGGTGTTCAGCCTCAAGTTTGTTACATTTTGAACTTTCTCCTTCTTGCATATTTTCTTTACTTTGCATTCTTTCCTAATATTCTTTCCTGATTTTCACTGGATCTCAGTGAAAATAAGAAATAAAGAAACTTCAAGATGGAATTTAACTGAGAACCACTTTTCAAACAAAGCTCAAACCCAAAGTATTAAAGGGAAAATACAACATGTGCAAACATCAAAAAATAAAACTACCAAATCATTTTGAAATACCTTGCTGGACTGTTAGTGAATGACAGTGTAAAGCATCCTGTAAAATCATGGCACCTGGTATGCTGTCATTTTCAAGAAAAGTGGTATTTTGTATCAATTTCCAACGCTGACCGGCCAATCAGCGTTGGAAAAAAACTGGCTTTTTTTTCAAATACTGGCCCCCATTGGTCATCGGCCCTGACCTTACAATTCCCCAATATATGTAAACTGCTCTGTCTTCCTAAGTGGAGCCAGGGAATCAGACTACAGGAAAATGATTTTTTTTTTTTTGGTTTTTATAGCATTTTCGAACCCAAAACCTCAAAAAAGTCAGTGTAACTATATTTTCTATATATTTCCAACCCCCCAATTCCATCCATTTCTGAAAATTACAGCAAAAGCAAATGATGTATATTCCCTTTAAACTGGATCATAATACATAATATTTTTTTTTGTTTTTAGGGCATAATACAGATAGTTCTTGATCTACATGTACCGTACCTCCGGATGCTCCAGGCCAGGCTCCTGTTTGATTTTTAACGGTTCGCTATTTCCCATCATGCAACTGCTGCGATTGGACTCGTCCTTAGGAACGGTGTTTGGGTGCGAGTTGGGAATGTCAGGGCTGCTGTAAATGAAGTGAAGAAAGAAATGTTGGCAACGTTATGCTGCCCGTTAAAACCTCCAATTGTATACCAATTATCTGTTTATCAATCTACAGCCTGTCTCAAAAAAAAAGGTACAATCGAAAACAATTTTTTTTTCAATATTAAATCTCAACATAAGTAAGTCGTTTTGAGCATCACATTAAAGAAAAAAGACCAGGCTTTCCAATACTTTTTGTTTCATCTCATTTGCTTTTGTCAATCCAGAGATAACTCCAGTTTACTGCGGAACACAAAAATCGAGTTTGTTTCTTTTGCCAAGTTGCAATCTTTTGTGAGCTTCAAGACAGCATGGCACAGTACTCGAAACAACTCTGCCCATGCATAAAAGTGGCATAAAATCGATTTTGGTGTATCGCACTAAATTGATATATATCTCTGAATTGACAAAAGCAAATAAGATCAAACAAACACTATTGGAAAGCCCAGTCTTTGTTCTTTAATATTATGCCAAGTAAGAATGACTTATTTTGAAATTTCATATTTAACCATTTTTTTTGTTCTGATTGTACCATTTTTTTGAGACAGGCTGTATACTCAACCCAAACAATTATATCATTTCATCAAGATTGCAGACTATATAACTGGATCAGTCCAAGCTAATATTGGACACACCATTTGAGCCTGACCCACCCCATAAACTTAGCATGCTCACCTCTACTTCCTCCTTGAGCCCAGCTTAGCCCATCCAACCCAAATTTAACACATAAACATCTGTATTATAGTTCAGCTCCACCTAAACCCACCCAGTCGACACCAAAACCAAATCCAAGCCAACTTGCCCAAATCCAACAGAACCCTAGTGTAACACTGACCCACCCAGTCAACACTCCAAATAAACTCCCTATCAACTTGCCCAAGCCCGACTGAACCCTATCTTACCCATGCAAACTAGTCCAGTTCAACAAAACCCAACGAAAGCTACCGGTACACGTTAGCCAATGTTTCCAAACCAAACTGAACCCAATCTAAAATATAAACTAGTCCAGCTCAACCTACACCAAACCAGTCAATACCAAAACCAAACACTCGCCCAATCCCAACGGAAGCCAATCTATTCCATATCAACTACCCTTGCTAGACCAAAACCCACCCAGTCAACACCCAAAATCAAACCCGGGTACCAATACACCCAAACCTACATTGTAACTGAACCCAATCTCACCTGGGCAGACCAGCCCAGTTCAACCCACAGCAGCCCAGTTCAACCCACAGCAGCACAGTTCAACCCATACCAACCCAGTCAGCACCCCCATCAAAGCCAATGCACTCAAACCAAACATAACCCAATGTAACCAACATAAACCAGTCACAATGTGGGCTTAATCCAAACTCACAAAGACAACACCCAAACCAAACCATTACCTAACTGATCCCAATCCAATCCTTAAACTAGGCCAGCTCAACTCAAACCCACTGGTAAAAACCCTACTCAACCCAGTCCAACCCATTTAAAATAGCCTAAATTAGCCAAACCTGTCAACACCCCAGCCCAGCCCAAGCCAACTCCTCCAAACCAAACTGAACCCATTCTAACCTTTATAACATACACTAGCCAAGCTTCACCCAAACCATCTCACTCAACATTTTAACCAAACCCACCCCGATACACCCACACCCACCTGAACCCAATGCTACCCATGTAAACCTGTCCAATCAACCCAGTCTAACCCAGTCCAGCGCCCAGCCACCCAACCCGTACCTATTGCTAGCTGGTACAGCATGATTGACATCAGGCTGGGATGATCCCGATGACATGCTCTGAGGCGAGAAGTTATTGTTCCGCTGCTGTCCATCCGCCATACTACAGCTTGCTCTTCCTTCTCTAGAATTACTGCTCTCTCCTTTGATGCGAGCCCCATTACCTGCAGACCAGAAAAATAAAACCCCTTAAAGAGACCATCCAGCACTTTCAAGGAAGGTGCCTTGCTCATGTTGCTATTAAATTAAGAGGTGCTCATGCATTCCAGCAGTCATAGTTACAGTGATGTAGTGCCTTGATGCTGGGCCTTGGCCTTGAGGCTGCCTCAAGGCTGGACTTTAGGGCCTTGGCCTTGGCCTCGAGGCTTGAGGGCAAAAGCCTTGGCCTTGATTATTATGTAATAATACCCACATGAAAGAAGTACCCTTCACAAAATAGGTTCTGCAGCAAAATCTACTGGACCGAATCGGGAGTTTTGGGGATCATAATTCTTCTTAAAGGATTCTCCATACATTGGTACAGGTGGTTCGAGTCTCAAGGTAGTGGAAGAGTGCCACTCCACTTTTTTTCTACCACCCTGTATAGCGCTTTCCATCGTATCAACAATCTCAAAGTGCTTTTACAATTATTCCCCCGTTCATCACGCCACGAGACCACGCGGCAGCCGAAATCACCGCACATTCTGTCCTCTAACCTAAAATACAGGTATCCATTCATTCTCCTGGGTGGAGAGAGGCAATTGTGGTTAAGGGCACAAAAACATGTTCCTGGCAGGGTTCGAACCCACACACCATCGTACATGAGTCAAATACCGTAACCACTGCACCCTGGCATTCTACAGCTTGTCAGTAGCATGGTATTCTACATGTACAACCTGTACATACATATGTAAATGTGGGTACATGTGGGTACATACACGTAAAACCTGCGTAAAAGGTACATGTGCCACCACAGTAATGGCTTTTAATTGTGGTTGCCGGAATAGCGTACAGTTTCTTGAAAAAAATGAAACTACCTCAAAACCCTCAAGATCCATCAAATTCTACAAGGATGTTTTAGCAGATTTTTCCAGACATCTGAAAGATGCCTATCGTCAAAATGCGAAGGGTTAATTTTTGTGGAGGGGGGAAGTCCTTGTTTTGAACTTCAGTGCTACTCTCTTACCCTGTGCCTGTTCGTCCCCACTGCTTGCAGGGCTGACAAGTAGAGGTGAGCTTGGAGTGTTGCTTCGACTCAGCGACAAGGACTGCTCCGAGCTGGAGCGCGGAGGCATTATAGGAGGTATATTTGGGATGGTCTCCGAGGTGTTGATCCCAACTTGAGACAGCAACTGTTTTGACATCTGATTGATGGTAATGTTGGGGGGAGGGTAGTTGTACTTCTGCAGGGACCCTGGCCGGAATGGCACGCTGTTTAGGTTCTTAGGGTAGATCGGGCGATATGTTGGTTGGTTTGGAAGCCTCTGGGGTTGGGGACCGACGGAGAGTGGTGGGGGGCCACCGTGGGCTTGCTGGAATGCGTGGTGGGGAGGCTCCCCTGGGCGACCCTGAGGACCGACGTGGTTGCCTTCCATGCTGTTCTGTCTTCTGTTCATCAACTGTTGGAGGTTAATCTTGTGCTGTAACTCTTGCGCCGAGAGCGGACGGGCACCAGGGGAGCGCATCCGCCCACCAACCAACAGCTCATGGGGTACTGGCCCGCTTTGTGGGTGGGGTCCCGGGACGTGAGGGCCGGGTGGGTGTGGAGCGGGTGGGGCAGCCCCAGCGGGCCCCGCCCCAGAATTTGCCGCTTGAAGCGGGTCGTGGACCACCAGTGTCCAGAGCTGCGAAAAGTTGGGCATGTTTTGCATATTGGCTAGGAATTTGATGTCGAGTCCCGCGATTGGCTGTCGCGTGCACATGATGCGCAGCAGGAAGACCAGTTGGTGGACGATGACTTTCTGACTATAGAGCAGGGCCGTGATGTTGTCGGAGCGCAGGGCACGATTGGTAAAGTCCACGGCGTGCTCGATGGCCTGTTCCACCCGATGTACTTCCAAGATTTGCTGGTCAAACATCTTCCGTCGCGTGTCGCAGACCCCCTTCAGGTCACTAAGGAGTTTCTTTCCTCGCTGAGTAATGTCATTCACTAATCTACAAATCACAGACCAAAAAAAAAAAAAAAAAAGTGAAAAATCATATTTTTAAACCTTCAATGACCAGTCACCAGTGTTTCTTGGGGTACACTACTTTTTCCCCCAACATGTAGAGTTACCACTTAAATGTTCAAGGGAAAATACAACATTTGCAAACATCACAAAATAAAACTACAATGTACCAAATCATTTTGAAATACCTTGCTGGACTGTTAGTGAATGACAGTGTAAAGCATCCTGTAAAATCATGGCACCTGGTATACTGTCATTTTCAAGAAAAGTGGTATTTTGTATCAATTTCCAACGCTGATCGGCCGATTTTTTTTCAAATACTTGCCCCAATTGACCATCGCACTTGTTTGCAATCGATTTCAAACCTATGAACGGGTACGAGCCAGCTAGACCATGTAGACTGGTTCCCTGACCTTACAATTCCCCAATGTATGTAAACTGCTCTGTTTCTTCTTATATGGAGTCAGGGAACCAGACTACAAGAAAATGATTGTTTTTCTTGGGTTTTATAGCATTTTCGAACCCAAAACCTCAAAAAAGTCAGTGTAACTATATTTGCTATATTTTGCCAACCCCCCAATTCCATCCATTTCTGAAAATTACAGCAAAAGCAAATGATGTACATGTATATTCCCTTTAACTAGGATGAAGCATTATCTGTGACCTTGTTGCAAGTTGAAATCTCCTACAAAAGCATCATGAATATTCAAAGTTGTATTTTTTAAAAGCACAAGAAACTGTGTGCACAGATGTCAATGCCTCCACTGTCATAAAATGAAAACATTGGTCATACATGGCAGACTTTTACTGCTAAGCTATTAAACCTGCTTGCTCAATAATTTTTTGCGACTGGCAATTGAACCCAACCCAAACTCTGTGCTGCAGCTGCTGAAGATAAAAAAGCACAAAACTACAGTACCTGGGAAACGGAGAACCTGGGAACCAAGCAATACAACTCACATGACACTTTGGCTGGTAAACATTTTTTTTTAGCTATAGGCCTAAAGCACATTTTTTTAATGTGCTTAGCAGATTTGTGTACCAAACAGTTTTACCGTGCACGTGAAAAAAACATGCACCTCTCAGAGGCCACACGGCATGTTTCAGATGCATGTGCGTCATAAGCGAATCTAAGCCTGTCAGGTTTATCCGGGATACTAGTCACAGCACTGATTGGTCAAAAGCATTATTAAGCTGGGGTTAATGGATCGGGCTTTTGACCCCTGACCTGAAGACGAGATTGCGGATCTCTTGAGTAGCTCTCTCCTCGTTGGTCTGCAGTTGCTCCCCTTTGGCTAGGATGTGTTTCTTGGTTTGCTGGACGTAGTTCTGTTTTTCGCCTAGCTTCTCCAGCAGGATGCGCAAGGCTGACTTCTGTCGGCTGGCAATCTCACCCACAAACTGATACCTGAGGAGGGAAGAGCAGTCACCAATCACAATCAATCTTGTTATGAATATGACTTTCGTTTTTGCAAGACCCAAAGGACCAGCGTTGTCCTTTGACTGACTGACTGACTGACTGAGTGTCCGTCTAACTCAGTAAGTGGGCGTCAATAATGCCCTAGACTGTGACTTTTGGGTCCCGCTCAACTGTCGTGGCCCCGTGGTCTGGAGCATTGAATTTGTGGCGGGTAATTCTGCTGGCTGTGGGTTTAAATTCGGCCTAGGTTTATGGTGAATGTGCCCTTGGGCAAAGCACTTTGTCACTGATTGCTTCTCTCCACCCAGGAGTGAATGGGTACCTGTGAGGACAGAGATGGTTAGTGTTGTTGATTTTAGTTGTTTTGCGCCGAAATGGCAGCATCAAACTGTATACTTCCCAGGGAACTGAAATTGTCTTTTAAAATGTTTCATTGGCCCAATGAGCTGGGTAATAATGATGTTAACCCCCCCCCCCTACATGTAACGCCTTGAACACGTATAAGGGTGGATAAGTTACAGTGCACTTTATACATGTACATGTAAATACACACATCAACTAAAGCCTACATGTATAAACCTGTACATAACAGCCAGGTATAGGTTTGAAATACATGTACATGTACATGTCATGTACCGGTACGTGTCATGTACGTCAGATGCAAGTCAATATCCAGTGGGCTAATTAAATTTTACGTTGGTCATTTGGCTGGTATAAAATACGTATGTACATACATATATGTACATAAACTGTATGCATAATTTATGTCCTTTTAATTCCTTAAATTTACAGGCTTGTATAAATTGTCCAGGCTACGTTTACATACATATAAATACTGACCTTTATTTGAAAATACAATGTACATGTACAATGATTGAGTCTATTGACTAGAAATTGAAAAAACACATTGCAGTTGCACTGCCTCCAATTTTGTTTTGACAGTCGGCTTGAAATATGAAGGGTGATATAACTGTAAGAAACTAAGGAAACTTTCCTACTGTTAACCATATTTTTCAGAACAAATGTGACTATATGTATACATGTATGTAAGTTTTAAATAAGCTTAAACATTAGTTGGTAGAAAAAAATACGGATTAAGAATTTAAAACACTTATATTTCGGACATAATAAAGATGAACATTTTTAGAAAATTCACACATGTACATCACCATTTCTGGCTGTGCCCAATTTATTCTCTTGTTTTTTTTGCCAGTACCATGTCACTTGCCACTGCAGTAACAGGTGTGTGCAGTGCACTTAATTCAAAATAAATATTACAAGCTTCTGGTTACCCTATCTACCCTATTTTGACATCCTCTACCGGTACCATGGGCCTCGCGGGGGGGGGGGGGGGGGGGGGGGGGGGGGGGGGGGGGGGGGGGGGGGGGGGGGGGGGGGGGGGGAAAAGCAAAAAGAAGTGCGAAGCCATATTGCATGTACATTGCCGTTAATACCATTGGTGAAAAATCCCGGCAACGCCCATGGCCTCTAAGCCTAGTGAAGACCAAGTGAAGAGGGGGAAAAGCAAAAAGAAGTGCGAAGCCATATTGCATGTACATTGCCGTTAATACCATTGGTGAAAAATCCCGGCAACGCCCATGGCCTCTAAGCCTAGTGAAGACCAAAATAAAAACCAAAAAGAATACATGAATTACTACATTTTACCCTTGACGACACGCAGACACCTCCATATGATCACACACAAAAAAATACCCCTCTCTCCCCCCCCCCCCAAAAAAAAAATGCTACCTTCCTACACTATTTTCAAATGCCATGTATTCGGAAGCAGATTTATTGGTTTTTTTTGCCAAATTAATTGAACAGGTACATCGTAAGTGGGCATACACATACATGTATATTTTGTATTTCGAAAACTAACAGCATTCAAATGCAAGAATGACTTGTATACTGTCATTGTTTTTACTGTACATAAAAAGCCAAAACTTGAGGTCACTAAAAGCAATACAGTCTGAAATGCATTTGTGCTATTTACTTCAAGTGATTAATAATAATTAAATAAAAGATACCTTTTTGAGACTTTACTCACGAAACTCGTATCAGGAACTTGCGATTGAGAGCTAACAGCGATTAAAGTCGTGATTAAAGTCTCAAAAAGGTATCTTTTATTTAATTGATATAATAATGGGACAGGAAATGAACTTTCATGCTCGATTAACAATAATTTCCAAGTTTCTTTTCCCCAACCAATGCAGATCAAATTACAAGAAATTATTCACAGGTCTCTTGTTTTTAAAAGGAAATAAACATACCATAAATAACACTAAAAAAAATATTGAAACAATGTTGCAGTTGTAAAACTTTGTGACAGCTATCAAAAGTGAAACTGCCTGCAAGCGACCCCTGGTTTCACTTTCTGAAACTCAAAGGTTCTCAGAAACGATATTACAAAAGGACAGATTTGTATCATAATACATACCCCTGTACATACTATCAACTGACAGTTTCATATTAAAAATACATGTTGTGCACATTGGTACTTGGAGAACTTTATGGAACATGTACACATGTACGGTTACACCTCTATGTTCCGACACCCCTATGTTCCGACTGCACATATTCCTATTCCTAACCCTAACCCTAACCCTAACCGGGAGTAACACAATCTAGGTTGTCGGAACATAGGGGTGTCGGAACATAGAGCAGTCACCCACATGTACATGTATGTACTGGAAAGCTTGCAAATGCATGGCTAAAATACATTGTAATGTGGTACATTGTAATTGTACACACATGTTCGTTGAAGAACAACCACATGCATGTACTCAGCAAAACAAACCGTTTCGAAAGCAAACCATGAATGGGGAATGGTTTCGCTTCCAAGATCTCGGTTTCAGTATTTATAACTGAAACAAGGAAAAATACTGAATTCACAACCCGTATGTTTTTACTGATACAATAGGGGGGCCTATATGGCTGAATTTTAGATACGGTTGATTGATTGATTTTAAAGGGAAGATACAACATTTGCAAACATAACAAAATGAAATGATCAACTTATCACAAAATACCTTGCTGGATTGTTAGGGAATGACAGTCTAAAGCATCCTGTAAAATCGTGGCTCCTGCTGTGCTGACATTTTCAGGAAAACTGGCTTTTTTTCAGTTCTGCTCCAAATTTTTCAAAATTAGTTATTCCATGTTTTCTTTGCAATTGATTACACAACTGTGAAGGGGTACAAGCCTGCTAGACTGACTCTCTGATCTTACAATTTCCCCTAAGTCTTAAAATTCTCTGTTTTATCTTAAGTGGGGTCAGGGAACCAGATTACAAGAACATGAATGGTTTTCTTGGTTTTTCTAACATCTACAAGCCCAAAACGTGAAACAAGTCATTTTAACAATATTTGCTATGACATGCTAATCCTCCAAATATATTTATTTCTGAAAATTGCAGCAAAAGCAAATGTTGTACATTCCCTTTAGTGCAGTCTTTTGATTTTTAAATTGCTGTAGTCCAAATTAGTCCCGGTGTCATATGAAAATCGGACTCGTATGAAAATCAGATTTTTTTTCCCTTTTATTGGTTAAACCCTCTCACGTGACCGACCCCTCTCCTAATTATCTATGCATGAGCGTGCGCAATACCATCAATGAGTCCGTATTTCATAAAACATAAATTCATGCTACACCGGTACTGGCCCAAAGCACCCTGCCTGTTATTCCTTACACTGCCCCAACCAGTACCTCCCAAACACACTTATCATGGAGTAAAGTGATTAAGCGCCACAAACCAGCACATGATTACAACTTAAAGCTATAGTCCATCATTTGCAGCCATCCGAAAAGTAACTGGCGTAATTATTGTTGAAAAACAAACTTGGTTGAAAGATAGTAAGGGAACTAAACTCCCTGTGAAATTATTCCTTCTGGGAAGCTGTCATTTTGAAGTAATCAATGAAAGAAGGCATTTCCAACGGTGATTCTTAAGAAGCACCGTAGGAAAATTTAAATTAGTAGTTCGTTTTGTTATTCAGCGCAGCGCGCACAAGTATTGGAACGACGCACACGCGCGCGCGGTTGTTATAATTCGTCGGATCAGTGCGCGACGTCGCGTATAGCTGCAATTCAAAACATGATTCAGTAACTTTTGATTTGAAATTGAGATCTTAGAATGCTGGTTTTTCTCGGAATGTACAGCTGAAGCTTAGCTGAAACTTTATCAGGTTAGTTGCTTAGTATCCTTTATTAGATTTTGAACTCTTTTGTTGCTTCAAACGAACAAAATGCACAAATTTCAAATGATGGACTATAGCTTTAACCCAACCTTCCCAAATCCTCCAATATCCTCTTTGCAAAATGGAGGATTTTACAGGATTGAGGCTCCATGTACAATAGTATGTACATGTACATGTATAGGCCTATGGCAAAAGTGTGTGGCTTATTTTGGAAGATGCACTGTGTCAACGTCTCAGGCCAGACCTTGTGTTGTTTATGCTCAGCCGTGCATAAATTTAGACCTAGATGATACTTGAAATCCTCCACACTGCTGCAGGATGTCACTGGCTCTGCCTCAACGTATTGACAGTGATTGCTGGAGGATTTTGCAGGATTGAGGCAGTGGTCACCCCACCAAGGACCACATTCAAGAAGTAAAGGAGGATTTTGGAGGATTGAGGCTGTATGCTATTTTTACATGGAGGTAGAACTTTTTGCAGGATTTTGCAGGGTTGAGGTTACAACCTAGCAAAGATGCATTGGGATTTAGGGTTAGTTAAATTATGTCATACCCAAGGTCAAGCAACAACTTCAAAGCTTTCTGAGACTCTGTATAAGGTTGCTCTTGCTTGAAACTACATATGTACAGTAGCTCAGAGGTGCACTATATGTACACCATGCAATGCATACATTTGCCAATGTCTAATGCATGAGTTGTCGCGGGTTCAAAGGTCACGCAAGGACAGCAAAGCGTTGGCCATTCTCAGACTTTATACATGTACTCAAGTGAAAATAAACTGAGGTACTGGCCTCTTCCTGTCAGTCAAACAAACAGGTGAGCATTCACCAATTAAATCAAGACTTTCGGTGACAACTGTGCACAAAACAAAATGAGGGCGGGGCTAACGGCCACACCCCGAACAGTCCATTGTAAAAGCAAAGGCTTACTTGTGTTCCTTGTGTTCCTGTAGTTGACAATCCCTACACGTCAGTTTTTCGCACGTCTCGCAGTAGAGCTTGAGCTGCTCCTGGCGATGAACAGAGCAGAACAGCGGCTTCTGCTCACTGCGCCCGCTGCCGTTACTCCCCTCCCCTGATGTACCTGCGACCTCTGACCTTTGCTTGATGACATGATCCTTGGTGACTCGCACCCGCTGATGGGCCTAGAGGCGATGTAAAGATAGATATTTTTTTCCCATTTGAAAGCAGACTTTGATTTAGAATGTTCCGATATAGGCGACAGAGGAAAAGAAGTTGCCTTGAAGATGTTCTGCTTAAGACGAGCCTGTCTTTGAATTCTTTTTCGTTTTGCTTGTTTTTCCTCTATTAAACCATACCATTTTTGAAGTCTTTTTTGTTTTGCTTGTTTTTCCTCTATTAAACAATACCATTCATACAGCCAAAGCTTATCTGAGCATCAATAAATCTCCTTTAAAAGAGGACAATATAAGAATCTTTTGCTGTTTCTTTGTACCCAATGTATTTTGTGTTTTCAGTCGTAAGGTGCAGGCAAAGTAGCTCAGCACATTTGAAGGAAACCCCATAAAAAAACAAAACAGGAAATACCCCCTCCCCCACCCCGACCCGAAAACCTTCTTACCAGGAAGTGATTTTTAAACAGGAAATGAAAGCGGAATAAAACAGATGTCATACGAGAGATAATGGCTGAAAATAAATAACAGGGAAGGAAGTTTGGGCAAGCGTCGGGTGGGGAGTGGGAGTGAGGGTAGGTGGAGCTCAGGAGGCAAAGGTTGGTGGGGTTAAGAAAGTGTAGGCGCAGAAGGTGTGTTTCGGAAGAGTAGGTGGAAAATAAGGAGTGGTGGGTGGCATTATGAAGAGGTGGACAGAGAAGGAATGGGTGTGTGGAGTTAAGAAGGGGTGGGTACTGGGTAGAAAAAAAGAAGGGGTAGGTAGATATAGAGGTACATTGTAGGGGAACATAGGAAGGGTTGTTATTAGAGTTAGGAAGAGTGAGTGGAGTTAGGAAGGGGCGAGTGGAGTTAAGGGGTGGGTACCGGGTAGAGCAAGGAAGGGGTGGGTACCGGGTAGAGCAAGGAAGGGGTGGGTAGATTGCATAAATGGGTAGGGGCCTGTCAGAAGGGTGAGTGTAGTTGGGAAGGGGTGGATGGAGTAAGGACGGGGTGGGTACAATTTAGGAAGGGGTGAGTGGGGTTGGAGAAGGGGTAGGTGGAGTTAGGGAGGGGTGGGTTGAGTTAACAGGAAAGAGTGGAAGTTAATGACCTATTAAATGGGAAGGGGTTGGAAGTCTAGTCTCAGGAAGGCTTGAGTGGTGTTTGGAAGGGGTGAAGAAAGTTTAATACGAGAGGGTGGGTGGGATTTGGGAAGGGACGGACGGATTTTGGAAGGGTTTGGGAGGAGTTAACAAGTGGTGGGAAAGTTAGGAAAGTTGAGCATGGGGTTTGGAACGGGGAAGGTGGAGTTGGACCTGAGTTAAGTAAAGCTGGAGTGGGTGAAGATTCGAAGGGGTGAAAGGAGCTTGGAAGGGGTGGAGTTTGCTATTAAGCAACAGGGATTTGAAGAATGGGAGTTTGAAGAAAAGGGAAGGTTGGGAACAAGATGACAGGTAGATTGTTTTTGGGCTAACAGTAAGGGAGTATGTATGTTGTACATGTAGGTGGGTGGATTGGGAGTTTGGTAGAGTTTAACCCTAACCCACCTCACTCCTCCAAAATCCTCCTGGTGGTTTTGGAGGATTCTAGAGGATTGAGGATGAATGGTGATTGAATCAAATGAGGATTCTGGAGGATTGAGGATGAATGGTGATTGTTGAAGCACATGAGGATTTTGGAGGATTGAGGATGAATGGTGAATGAAGCACAAGAGGATTTTGGAGGATTGAGGATGAATGCATTTTGAGGCAGGACTGTCTGATGATTTTGAAGGATTTGGCATTGGTTATCCTTCATTTAAACACGAGTGCAAAGTTTTGGGATGAGGAGGATTTTGGAGGATTGAGGATGAATGCATTTTGAGGCAGGACTGTCTGACAATTTTGAAAAATTTAGGCGGAGTTGAAAAATTTTGGAGGATTGAGGATGGTTGTAAGCAACAAGGGCCTAGGGGGTTAGGGTTAATTAAGGGATTCTTGGAATCAGGAGATGGTTGCACAATTGCAATGGGGCAGTTGAGGAGGGGTTAGAGGAGGGACTGGTCGAGTGGGTGGAGCCTTCGTGGGTCGGTGGAGTCCACACCAAATGTCATTCGTTGGATAGGCCGTTAAGCCATGACATGGCCTAGCGGTTAAGAACACCGGACTCATGTTCTGGTGTTTCAGAGGCAACAGCGACGTGGGTTCGAGCCCGGGCACGGACACTTGTGCCCTTAAGCAAGGCACTTAACCATTATTGCTTCGTCCTTCAGATGGGACGTTAAGCCGTAGGTCCCGTGTGTTGTATAATGTCTAATGCACGAACCCAGTACACTTATCGCTAAGAGAAGGGGTTCGCCCCGGTGTTTCTGGCAGTGCGATTATCTTCAGCCATGAAGTCTGCACTTGTAAGGAAGAAGAAGAAGAAGCCTGTGTTTGTGTGCCACTAATGCACTGTTCTGAATCAGTCTAAACAGCGCCCTCTACAGTTCATGCACACTGTCAATAACATTAAATTACCTGTACGCAGGGCTCACAAAGCCACTCCATGCAGTCCTCGCACAAGGCCGAGACCTCTGACTTGTCGTCGCACAGACAGACGCTGGGGTCTTTGATGCCGGACTCAGAGGAGGCCATGGTAACTCCCCCGGTGATGAAGTAGTTGTCAATGATCTCGTTGATATTCCTGCAGTCTTGACGGCAGATGGGGCAACGACAGCCTGAGGGAGGAGAGAAAATTAGAACTTGTTAGGTTAGAGTGGACATGGAAAATCAAATAACACAATTGTAGATCCTTCTTTATTTGTTTAAAGGGAATATACATCATTTGCTTTTGCTGTAATTTTCAGAAATGGATGGAATTGGGGGTTGGAAATTCATAGCAAATATAGTTACACTGACTTTTTTGAGGTTTTGGGTTCGAAAATGCTATAAAAACCAAGAAAAACAATCATTTTCCTGTAGTCTGGTTCCCTGACTCCATATCAGAAGAAGCCGAGCAGTGAACATACATTGGGGAATTGTAAGGTCAGGGAACCTGGCTCGTACCCGTTCATACAATGTAGGTGTGTAATCGATTGCAAACAAGTGCGATGGTCAATTGGGGCCAGTATTTAAAAAAAAAACCAATTTTTTTCCAACGCTGGTCAGCCGACCAGCATTGGAAATTGATACAAAAGTACCACTTTTCTTGAAAATGACAGTATACCAGGTGCCATGATTTTACAGGATGCTTTACACTGTCATTCACTAACAGTCCAGCAAGGTATTTCAAAATGATTTGGTAGTTTTATTTTTTGATGTTTGCAAATGTTGTATTTTTCCTTTAACTATACCCAGTACATGGCTGTATACAAAAACAGAAAGTTGGTTAGCATCCTTTGGACCTCCATTTCCAGACTTGGTCAAGACTTTTTTTTATGTTAGTACATTTGTACATGTACGTTTTTAACAGGTTGGTTTGGATTTAACGCATGAGGGTATGTTATGGTGCGGTGTTTACATACGTATGTGCTATGTGCACATAATAGATACAGACCGAGCGCAACCCAGACTTGGCCAACCTTGTCCCAGTGCTTACTTTATTTCCAACCTCGTTTCCAATAGTAAGCCCTGGATAGGAAACTTTCTACCTGTATCCTGATTCGATACCGGAATTGGCTAGTAATGGATTTTTATTGTGTACTTGGTGTTAATTATTCACAACATGCAGTACGTGTTTTCGCGATCATTCGTCCACGCCTTCTCGAAAATACTAATTTCCTTTCCAATTTGCTCATATTAATATGAAATATGATACTGCATGTCATCTCGATAAGATCGTAACAGTTTAGTTTTAAAAATTGTGTTTTCGTAGCTCATGCCATGCTCGCAGTGCGACGAATTGACTCTGTTTTTACCCTAGACATCGCATACAAAAACAAACGCTAATGTAACGCATATCCAGGCACCAGACTCTTCCTCATTTGCATACGTGTTCAAAAATCTTGCACACTATGCAAATGATCCAATACCAGGGTGAGAGAGCAGGTAGTGATGGGCGTGTACTGTTCGACACCCTGGGGACGAGGTTGAGACTTGGCCAAGTCTAGGATGCTAACAACTAGTTAGCCCCATAAATGTGGCCTATTTCCTCTGTAAACATAGGCCACACATCCACATGTACAAAAACGTGTCGCACTCTGCCAAATTTTGATTTTCACATTTAGGCTTAGTTTGTAGGGTTTTTTGCTTTAGAAGCATACTAACCCTCTTTATAGGCTAATCAGAAAGACAAAGTGCTGCCTTTTTCAGATACATGTATATTTTTCGTGAAATTTCCAGATTCATTTTTGCAACATGAAATTTCACAAAAATTAGACATCTGAAAACAGCAGCACTTTCTGACTAGCCTATAAAGAGGGTGAGTATGCTTCTTAAGCAAAAAAATTCTACATACTACTAAGCCTAAATGTGAAAATCAAAATTTGGCAAAGTGCGACACGTTTTTGTACATGTGGATGTGTGGCCTATGTTTACGGAGGCAGTCCAGTAAATAGGCCTCATTTATGGGGCTAACAACTAGTACGACCTGTAAACGTGGCATCGATAGTTAACAACGCCACAATCCAGAGTCATTAGAGTTGCGTAGAAACACTCGACACACATGACTGTACTGGTAACCGGATGGCTCCTACCATTTCGCCCGTGCATGAGTCAGCAGCTCAGAGTACCACCAGAGTACCGTGCGTGACCTCAGAAAATCAAAGATTGTGCTCATACGTTTGTTGTGTTGGATTTGGAGTCATTTTTTTCCCTCTCAAATATCTTGGCAATCCCAATGCAATCCCATCATGCTCACGTAACATTATTACAGAAAGCTTCATAAAAAAAACATACTTATATACTGGCAAATAGGGCAGGTTACATCCGATTTCATAATTTGCTACATTAAAAAAAGTACATATCCTTCTCAAACATTGTCAAAATAATGTCCAAAATTATGATTAAAAACATGACAAAATACAGGCCACTGCAAAGTGCAAGTGCAAAAGTGCTGACTTCCCAAAATCTTGTCAACAAACAATGAATCAGTCACAATCAACAGTCAGAGGTGAACCAATAACATGAAGCAATAACCTTATCTGAACCATAAAAGAGGGTAATCCTGTTTATATATTTTTTTACCTTGTTTGTCAGCATTGGTTACATTCAAAACGCACTGTTTGCACACAGTGTGCAGACAAGGCATCAGTTTTGGTTCGCGGTTCACCAACTCACTGTTGCACACCCTGCAGACCGTCTCAAAAGACCAATCTTCTTCGGCGGGCTTTTGCGTTTCCTCGTCCTTCTCTTTCTCCGGTTCCGAAGTCTTGGACTCCGGGGTCGGAGTATTCGATTGTTCCATAATGAAACAGCCTCAAATTATATGAGGAGAACGAGCAGCAAAACGAAGAAAACAATCAACTTCAGCCAGAGCCTGAGAATTTCATCTCCTTCATTCTACGAGCGGGAAGAGCGCCATCTTTGTTCGATGTTACTTTTCTTTTCGATTCCCACGAATAGTCTCTATTTACGTTTTTGTTTACAAAGGAAAAGGTCTGGGGAAAAAAATAAACTATAGACAAATACCATTTGTAAAATTAGCCAGTATTTTCCACTTCTGACTTTTCTGTTATCAAACGTCAAATTTTCTTTCATTTTTATTATTTTCTAAAATGATTAGGCCAATGGTTTTGACCCAAACGTATCGTAGAAAAAGAAATAAAAAATATGTTGCGTGCAAGGTTGCGATCAATAATTTATTTGGACATCATTCTTTCAGTTTTTCAAAAAAAAATTGCTGATATTATTTTCCTCACATATTTTAAATAATATTTTAAAGCACTCTGTAAAGCAAATGCAGTTTATAATTGTGTTTAATAACAAATATGCTTAGTTAGACTCTTTTCAACCTCGTTCTTTCCATCGCGGTATAATGCGATCTCATTACTTCTCGCAAATTCTCGCTGAATTCGGTCTTTCGTTCGCCATCAATCCAACATGGTGGGTCTTGAGGAAAATAACTTTATAAATCCCCCGTCATCCGTAAAAATACTGAATTAATTCTCACAAAACTCCCCAGAGTATAAGATACTATTCCTATGTATGTGACTGTCTGAATTTTTGTTATAATTTTCTTTGTTAGGGCTTTTAAATTTCATTATTTTGCTGGCACTTGTAAGAGGTTACATCTTACAGTAGGCCTACGTGTACGGCCGGGCACGGACTACGGGTACGGGTTCAATGCATGTGTGGCGTGTTTTAAGTTGGCCCCAAATTGTATGTATCTTAACAGCGAAGAAATAAACGTTATTAATCTACTTGTAGAGTAAAGTGTTCTGGGAAAGCTGGGGGGGGGGGGGCGCAAAGACAAAACTCCCCCCCCCCCCCCCGCCCGTAGGCGTAGGGTAGCTAGCTAGAGGTTGAACTAGCCCAGGTTGGACGAAGTCTTCATTGCAATACAAGGTACAACTATAGAATGCAGGGCCACTTCACTCTACATCCGCGCCTCCGTACGGCTGCGTGGAGGCGTGGAACCGCAGTCGACCTACCTCCGAAAATCGATCGTGGAGTCGTGGAGCCGCAGAGAATTGCGCCCTCTATCGGTGCGCGTCTCTGCGACTCCGCGACTCCGCGCCTCCGCCACTCCAGTGCCCCGCGTCTCCGCGATTCTGCGACTCCAAGACTCCGCGCCTCCGCCACTCCAGACAGTGCCCCGTCGCCCTCCTCCCTTCCTAATTTGCGCGCCCATTTAAAGCGATTCTGCGACTCCAAGACTCCGCGCCTCCGCCACTCAAGACAGTGCCCCGTCGCCCTCCTCCCTTCCTAATTTGCGCGCCCATTTAAAATGGATATGGATGCTTTGTTCTCAAAAAACTTCCGCCGAGAATTGCGCCCTCTATCGGCGCGAGTCTCTGCGACTCCGCGCCTCCGCCACTCCAGTGCCCCGCGTCTCCGCGATTCTGCGACTCCAAGACTCCGCGCCTCCGCCACTCCAGACAGTGCCCCGTCGCCCTCCTCCCTTCCTAATTTGCGCGCCCATTTAAAGCGATTCTGCGACTCCAAGACTCCGCGCCTCCGCCACTCCAGACAGTGCCCCGTCGCCCTCCTCCCTTCCTAATTTGCACGCCCATTTAAAATGGATATGGATGCTTCGTTCTCAAAAAAATTCCGCCGAGAATTGCGCCCTCTATCGGCGCGAGTCTCTGCGACTCCGCGACTCCGCGCCTCCGCCACTGCCGCCCACTCCAGTGCCCCGCGTCTCCGCGATTCTGCGACTCCAAGACTCCGCGCCTCCGCCACTCCAGACAGTGCCCCCAACACATTTACAAGCACGCCCTCCCTTCCGATCCTTCATGAGAAGCTTAGAAGACAAGTGCAGTGCATTCCTTCGCTGTACTTAGCACTTTTTTGCAGGTTTGCATATCTATTACTCCTATTCCATCCACGCCTCCAGGCAAAATAAAAAACCTTGCTTCGGCGTGGCCCTGCATTCTATAGTTGCTCCCAATACAACTAACGTCCAGGGCAAGAATTCTCTACATGAAACCACCCAACAGTTTTACCAGAGTTTTGTTATGTTTTAACTCGTTACAGAAGCTTATTTCACGCCTACATGTTCTATGTATCCTTACCTATTGGGCTGCTGGGTTCAGGAATTCCATAATGTGATGCTGACTGACATTAATCAGGAAAATAAACTCTAAAGCAGCGTTAAACTTGTACGTGTTTGTAGTCTCTTTTCATCAGTTTATTCCCAGAGTCGTACGTCATGTACAAGCTACAATGAACGTGCGTACGAAAGCGAGCACGCACGCTAGGCGCCCTCATTTGTTTAGTTTTGGTTGGAACCGTGACTTCACTCCAGCCAACCGATGTCATGAAAACGCTCAACCAATGACCAAAGCCGAAACGTGTTTCTGGTAACTGGCGCGAAAACACGCTCGGTCATTGGATTAGCGACCGCGCCTTCAAGTAAGTGCGCGTGCGTATGAGAGTGGTTACTAAGCAAATCGCGCGTGCGCACTGCATATTCATGCTGCATAGTCTGGCCCCCGGACCAGACGTGATGAGCGTCGAGAATAATTGTCCGGTCTAGGGAACCAGACTACACGCTGCACAGACGTACGTCATGTACACCGACTAGAATAGACTCGGCGGTGAGAAACTGATGAAAAGAGTCTACAAACACGTACAAGTTTAACGTTGCTTTAGAGTTTATTTTCCTGATTGACGTCAGTCAGCATCGCATATGGAATTCCTGAACCCATCAGCCCAACAGATAAGGACACATAGAATACTACGACGTAAAAATTAGCTTCTCCAACAAGGTAAAAATATTGAAATTATTGGTCAGAAATGTTTTCGTTCGGTTTTGAGCACTTTTTACCCAGGACTCCCTCCGTTACGTAGGGAGGAAAGGGAGTCCAACTGGGCTAGAGGTTGAACCATCGCCACGGACGTACATGATTGGTGGCGCTACTTTCATGCCCAAAATGACCTAATTTGTGGATTCCCCCAAAACAGCGATGCCGTTATTTGTGTGTAATTTTCCCATACATTTGTACACATAATCAACGAGGTCACATTTCAGCCAAATCGAGCATCATTTTTAGGCAAAAAAAAGCAATGTTAAAATTGCAATAATGTCAGAACTGCTTGCCCCATGAAGTTAGGAGACCATTTGTTTAATTGCATTTTGAAAGCTCTTAACCCTAACCCCCTAGGCTCTTGCACTAGAAAGTATACCAAACCTAACAAATTTCAACAGCTGCATACAGGTCTGTAAGCACTGGTACCAAAACTGCCAAACTCCAACAGGCCTTGTACGGGGAACAGTACTAAACCTGCCAAACTCCAACTGTTGGAGTTTGATTGACTTGGTACGGATGGGCCTATGCATTGTCGAGTGATTGGATAGGGATGGTACCAAACCTAACAAAATAAAGCAATATGTACATGCACATTTGACCACAAACTGTGCTGAGGACTGTGGGTGAGCATACCCACGAAGAAATGCCAGTGAACTCCCTCAAACTCCAACGTGTTCACAAATCTCATGCCCTTCTGCCCCGAACCTCACAAAATTCAACAGGGTCTCCCTGGGCCTTTGGTACCCAGTCAATCAAAGTCCAACACCAGCTGGCCAGTGTTCGGGACCAACCCTGCCAAAATCAAGCAAAACCCGCTGTTGGAGCTTGATGGGCTCAGGGTTGTTAGGGTTAAAGATAAAGTAAATTTTACAACTATCAAATCAACTATCATTCTAAAATTGAATTCTAAAGTCCTGGCATGTCTGCAAACTGCACGTGCATGTCATGACTCATGTGTTGCATGTTGTTACTACAAGAAGTTTCGGGACTCTTATGCACCGTAAATTGTATTGCTCGTCGGTCATCCATACCCAGGATGCAATGCGAAGGTCAAAAAGGTTTATTTGGCCTACATGTATACAGGTACATTGTTTAGGACCACAAGGTTTGATAGTAGCCTAACTTGTGTTTTGTTTTCTTGTGTGATTTCAGTCGGTGTTGAAGCATCGTAAGAAGACTAGAAAGCTTCGTGGTCACGTCAGTCATGGCCATGGGCGCATCGGCAAGCACCGTAAGCATCCCGGTGGCCGTGGTAACGCTGGTGGACAGCATCACCATAGGATCAACTTTGATAAATAGTAAGGCGAGATGACTTTTATTTGATCATGAATGCGACTTTATTAGTCCCATAAATGTGTTTCAAATACTGGACTTCTTTGTATTGTTATCCACACAGTGATGCACCCTCAATTTCCTGAAAAGTTGTAGTACCCAAATTTGAAATGTAGACTGCTTTTCCACTTGATGTTCAATATGGACAATACTAGTCAAGTCGTCACAAGTATGGTTAATGACTTTAGTGTATGTTAACATTTCTTTGTGGTTACGGAATAACTGACAAGAATATTTTTAAAGAATCAATGTGCATTAAACATTTTTTAAAGTTTCTGACGGTTTTCTTTAACCCTTACCCTACTTGACCCTCCAATGCATGCCAATTGTGCCTCAAGAAAATCTCCTATGTTTTTTGCATGGCCCTCCAATATCTGCCATGTCATTTCAAGGGTAACTGGACAGGCACTCCAATACATGCCACAGAGAACAATGAGAGTCCTCTGATAACAAAGTGAGTGCCCCCAGCTGGTCAGTATCAGGCACCCTCCAGGGCCTCCAACTCCTGCCAATTGGAGCCTTCACTGTTAAGACTTGTTATCTGCCAAATAACTGCAGCTGGAGGGCATTGGCATAACCAACTGACATGCAGTAAACTACCCTCAGAGAGTAAGGGTTAATGTATATTTGACGTCTCCCCAACCTATAGCCATCCGGGTTACTTTGGTAAAGTGGGCATGAGGCACTTTCACATGACAAAGAACAAGTACTTCAAGCCGGCCATCAACGTGGACAAGATCTGGTCACTGGTCAGCGAGCAGACCAGAACACACTACGCCAAGAACACCGAAAAGGCACCGGTCATTGATGTTGTCCAAGCTGTAAGTCCCAGTTCAGCTACTTCAAGAAAGAATGTTGGGAAAGAGTTCCATACCTGGACATCACTTGACACCCTGTACACAAACTCTCCGACACCGGTCTGAAATATTCCAAGTGTTTTCTTAGTAAATGCTTCAATATTGTCCCTGCTAAATTTGACTTTTTAGGACATGTTGTCTCTCTGATGGCTGATAGGTCACTGCAGGGAAACATTTGTGATGTCCATGTATGGAATTCTTCCCGATTGTGGGCAAGTCCAAGAAAAGGTCCCTTGTGTCCAATACGTAAAGCATCCTCTTTATTTATATAATCATCGCAAAGACTACCAGTAATAAATTAACACTCTTGTTGGTATTCTCCTCGCAGATGCCCAACAGAAGAATTAAAAACACTGAAATCCAGAGGGTTGAACAATCTTGTGTATGGGATGTAGCGTGCACAAATTCTTAGATTTGCCCATGTGGTGTCTTGAATATCTTGATAACGCTTTACAGAATGTGTCAACCAGGGATGCAACTTTTCCTCAGATCACTTGATGTAATCATACCGGTAATTCATAAACCCTAACCCTGCCAGATGCAACACAGTGCATCAGAAAAAAGTCTGGTGCACTTTGATGCATTCAGCTGGCAACACCAGTACATAAACGCCACTTCTGAGACAATGAGAGCTAATCCCATTGAACAATGCCACAGTTGTATCCTGCTGCATTCGGTGACCACAGACTCTGAGGCAGTTTGGCCTTGAGACTTTTGGCCTGATGGATCTTGCTACACTGGGCAGGCTTGACATTTTGACAAGTGTTGCATGTTGCTGTGTTTAGCAGGGTTTCTAGCCAAAATACCTTGGAGGGTTAGGGTAAAAAGGGTGCTCAACCATTAATCCGAGTATCACCAGTTGTCCACAGGAGCCCTCTGTCTCCGGTCTGATACAGGTGTATCTTAGAATCCAACTTTATGCGACCCCGCATGCCAGCCAATCAGAGTCCGCTTAGCAAAATCATGACATTGTTTCATTTATAAATGTGGACTTAGCTGTCGATTGGTCAATTTCGATGCCATGTCTCAAAAACCAACATGCCTCAGAATCCTTGATCCTCATTTTGCTGGATATAACTGTGGGTGTGGTTCATGGGACTTGCTCTCATTGTCCAAGAATTGACTCTTAATGCACTGGTGTTGATGGCTCAGTTCTGCAAGGTCCCACCGGCTTGTTACACCTGAAGCACTGTGTTGCATCTGCCAGGGTTAAGAGTTAAAATCTTGATATGCTCCAATTTGATGCCCGAACATTCTGGAAAAGAAAATGTCTGTACTGATGTAAATATGTATTTACTTTGTTTAGGGCTACTACAAAGTCTTGGGCAAGGGTCTTATTCCGAATCAACCCGTCATCGTCAAAGCCAAGTTCTTCAGCAGAGTTGCCGAGGTCAAGATTAAGAAGGCTGGGGGCTGCTGCGTGCTTGTTGCTTGAATAGAGGTCGGAGGTCACAGACACCAAGAAATCATGAGGTTGGAGGGAACAACTGAGAAATAACTGCCAAAAGAAGTTCGCAAATGTTGCTTAACTAAGCAGCATGTTCCTTCCATCGAGACAAGTAGACAACACATATATACTCAAAGAAATATAATTTACATACAAGTATCTGTCTTTTCAACCTCAAACCACCAAAATGCTGCAGTGTATCTTCTTCCATTGTTGAATCGCAGAATTTGTGAGTTTTGAACAAGACCTAAACGGAAAGGACTATTTTTCCCTCAGGTTAGAAGTGACAGCATTTTGGTGGTTTAATGTTTTCTGGGTACCCAAGTCGTTGGATGTTTGTTTTGGTTGGATAATAAAAGATTTAAATTAAACACAAATCCTGTGCATCTTTTGTCATTTATTTGCATTTGTTGGCGGTTGATATTTAAAATTTGCAGGCGAATAAAACACGGCCAGTTACCAACTTGATTTCAAGTCTACATTACATTATAGTCACACTCTGCCTAACTCCCCCCCCCCCTCACCCCACCCCCTTACTCTGACGCAGGTCCGCATTTTCCTCGTGATTTTGTATTTCCATACTTAATCAACTGTTTATTACACATTAACCGTAAGTCCCTAGCATGATTTCTGTAGGAACGATACCCATCCTGGCAAATTCCAACACCATAATGGGAAACTGCACACATGTTTCTGACTTTGATTCTGGAGGTGTGCCAACCCGATGCTAAAGACTGTCAGTTCAGGGGTACTGCACCCATCCTGAAGGATTCCAATAAAACACGTCGTTGGAGTGGCCTCTCCATGGACCGGTGAAAAGGTCCACAATCGGTGGTAAAAACGACCTTTCCCCTTCCATCAGGCTGGCTACGGTCCTGTATGCCGGGGGGGGGGGGGGGTGAGAACCACTTGGAGTTGGGTAAAAACGAAATTTTAATTACGACCTTTCACATGCAAGATTTTCGTACCCGGGTCTCCTTGTTTGTTTTCACATCGCATGAGAACAAACGACTCGAAGACTTAACTGCCATTGGGTTGTAGATTTAGCCGATGAGTTGTTGATTTAGTGTTTGAATGCACTCCTTATCAGCGGTCACTTCCGATTTTTTGCTATGCTATTAATTGAAGAATTGTACATATGTACATGTATATACATGTACTGCGCAATAGTCGTAGCCTTGTTGCCATTTTGTGATTGGACATTAATAAATACCTTGGAGAGTTGATGGTTTCTGATTGGTCGAGACTCGATCACGTGGCCGGTCATTAACGGTGATAATGGACCGGCTTCAAAGATCAAGCGAATAAATGGCCCCTGAACCAGCATTGATCCAGCCCCGTTCAGCCCCATGCAAGCCAATGATTGGCCAAAATATAGTAACAGTCCTGCGGTAGCTTTTAACAATTGAGCACTGCACATGCGCTCAACCCCCATCGCGTGAGACTGACGCGCGCGTACGCAATACAGTTGCTAGGGATGCGTGCGTGCGCGCGCGTAAGGAAGTTTTGAAACGACATCGTACAGCAGTGCAGTACATACATTGTACTGAGGATGTTTTCGACAAAAGCGTAGATCTACGATTTATTTTCCTTGAAACACTTCACCCACCGACATATTTACCTTTCCTAAACAAGCATCTTTGTAATTCCGGACACAAGGAATGTGTAAACGAGATTTCAGCTTCCTCCATCAGGTAAAGATATGAAAACATTGTTGTTTCGCTACGGCTGCAGTTTTTGTTGAGTTTACGTCGTTATAGCTGTTAAGCTAAAATATGGCCCATGAACATGAACACAAAAAAAGTCTGGAAATATTGCCGGAAAAAGTCACAAAATTGGAGCATTTGAACTGTTTATTTCGTTAAAAAGGTATTTATTAATGGGAATAACAGTGTGAGGATCCGGTCTTCACTGCGTGATAATGACCGGGTGTGGGGGTGACCGCTGTTAATGGACCTCGACTTCGTCTCGGTCCATTAACAGCGGTCACCCCCACACCCGGTCATTATCACGCAGTGAAGACCGGCTCCTCGCACTGTTATTCCCTTAATAATAACGACGTTGATGCACATGTACGCAAGTACGACGTACGGTACACGTACGGGCGCCGCATGTACATGTTCATCGTTCAAGACCAGGTTTTTCTGTGACGCATTTCGTTCACATAATGATACAGAAAGGGGGAAAGGAAAAACTTTTAATCATTTCACAAAACCCTACTGTGTATATATCTCGATATTTAAATGAACATTGCAAGATATCTGCAATGATTCGTTGGACATTAATTCTGTGCGTAAACTTTGAGAATGGAAGAATTACTTCTCTCTTTAAAAACAACTTATTTTATTCATCTTTATTCGTCTAATTTCGTTATTCGTTCATCGTCCAATCACAAAATGGCAACAAGGCTACGACTATTGCGCAGTATGTATATCGTTAAAGACATCTTATCATGGTGGGCTTGGTCTCCTATTTTCACCCAATTTAATGACCGCCACAAACTTATTTCATAGATTTTCATCTTTGTACGAGTAAACCAACTCCTCTAGTACACTTATTGGATTTTCGGAAGTGAGAGGTCAATTTTGGAACGATAGGCCTATTTCTCTTTCACGTCAGGTAATTTTTCAGTTTCTAAAGCCCTGATGGAGATGCTAGTAACAATTTATAAAGGCCTTTTCTTTTCGATGGTAATTTTCTGAATAATTAAATGTAACGATAATAGCTGCAAATTTTTGAACTTGCACGTTAATTTTCCAATTCAAGGGCCTTCCGGAAGAGCGCCAGGTAAGTGAACTTTCAGGTTCCATTGTCCCGCTGCATGCAGTGTTGGCATGTTTCCAAAAGTCGTTTCTTTACAACTTGCTGCCCGATTTCCAGCCCATATAAGGACACAATGCTATTGATAATCAAATTATGAAAACTTTTGTCGGGCAACGAATGAAATCGCTGCACCGAGCACGTCGGGGGAGGAGCCTACAGGTGATGCATTGTGCATGTGTTTAGGCTCTGGGTGTTTGCGATCACGCCACAAGTTCATGGTGCAACTTATAAGGACTCCTGGTGCCGTTAGCGTGTCACATTGGAGAATTCTCACCCGACCAAAGCTTGACATAATTATGGGATCTGCAAAAACCGGGAGAGACGCTGTACACATGGGCCCACGTTAAGATTTGTTTCACGACGGTTGAGACGCTCTGAAGGATTTGGGACTCTGGGAGTGCTACAACCCGCCAAACAAGGTACGCAACGTAGTCACTCGGTCAGTTTCTCATGTAGGCTATGCAGTATCGATATTATGTCAAAAAGAAGCCAAGCTACACGGTGTAGGCCTAGGCCTACATGGTTTAAAGTTTAAACTGTAAACTGAGGAAGTCTTGGCACACGCGTCATAATTTATATTCACGTGAACATCTATAACTGAGACCATCGAAAACACAGGTTAACATGCTGCCAGATGGGAACAACGTAATTAATAGAATCGTTTCCTCTAAACTCACTTTATTATCTAAAGGTAAAAAACATATACATGTACATAGATTTAATAATGATTATTATGAAATATCCTACCTATACCTAGTCGTAAATGATCAGGCATCTCGCCTATAGTTAGCCCAGGTTGGACTCCATTGTGTACATGTACACGCAACGGAGTCCAGGGTGGAGTCCAGGGTATAGCCCAGCTGGACTTCGTTGTGTAGGCTACACGCAACAATGAAGACGTCGTCCAACCTGGGCTAGCCTAAAGTATGGTGCTCCCATTAAAGAAAAAAGAATTGCCATAGGCCTATCCTCGGATCATATCGCCAGAAGCAAAATGCATGTATGCCCCGAACGATCTAGTTTAAATTAGTTTGCAATCGGTTACATAATCTGTGAATAGAAATCATTGTTTCCCTTGTGACAAACCTGGGGTCTGAGGGTAAACAAGTAATTGTCGAACATTTGTGTAAAATAATGGATTGTTACAGTGAAAAAAAGAGAAAAAATACATGTCTTTTGGGCTAATATAATTTCCGTATTTTTTTTGTGGGGGGGGGTCCATGTAATTTAATTTGTCTAATGCAGCTCATGAAAATGCACCTTTGTGTCCCCTTTCCATCTTATTTTCATTTTTAAAGCCAATTTCAAGGTATTTTGGTGCCTTTTTGGGTTTGTTTGCTCATCCAAATTTACACATTCATGAACTTCAGCCCCCCAAAAAGTCTCCGGTTTCTGGTATGCGCGCGCGTTTAAGAGGAATAGAAAGCTGCACAACATACGTTACTAAGAAAACCTTATTTCATGGACCCTTTAATAATTAATTCGCTTCAGATTATTATATGTGTTGTTCCCTGACACTGCAGTATGAACTATATGTCGATGTCAGATAATTTGTTTCTCCACTTCAACAATAATTACTACCTCGATCATTCCTCCATGGTATGAAAAACAATGAACAGCACTGGCAACATTGAAAATAACAACATCTGAGACGCATCTGATTCAATGTTTCATACCTATTTTCAACAGATATACTAGGTTCGTACCTATCGTGCAGTAACACCTGTTGACTTGCCATTTTATTTACTTTTTATTCTCCTTCATTGTCATGATATATTTTCCCTCTCCCGATGGGAATATTATTGTCCGTGGGAAGTAATGTGCATTGTAATCATTTAACGACGAATAAAGAGCCTCACAAATCACGCATCAGGGGTAATCAATAATTATAACTACACAACAAAATTGTAAAGTTCCGCTGTAAAAATATTCTCTTAGATAGAAAAGTGCAAGCCTCGATGACGGTTGTCGCACGCAATCGATTGTGTTCTTTGTATCTCTTGATAATAAAATTGTGACGTCAATGTCAATATTCCCCATTTTCTGGTCCCCGGGGGAAAAAGTGCGAAAATCGACGAATCATATAAATTAAGTACCCTACTTTTTGACTACATGGTTAACGCTCAGGGGCCAAACTCGTGAAACCTTACTAAACCTAGTTGATACTAAATAGGCATGTAGTTGCTTACTAAGCCTAGTTGGAAACTAATTGATATTCATGAAACATTGCTAATGCACAGTTACATTCAAAGTTTCTTACTCAAGTTAGTGAAGATGCAGGGAAATTCTAAGTCACTATAGTTAGCAACTATGTAATGTTTTGTTGTGCCAGATTTGGCTTTTTAGTTGGTTTTCCCCCCTCCGATTGCTTTCTTGGACTTTGTCTATTTTTAAGTTTCTTGAAGGATTTTCTCATACTTGACACATATTCTCTTGATTCGGATTTTAATTTGGAAAATCTAATTTTAAATCATCCAATGAACTTTCAACCTGTGGAAATCTTGCACGGTGTTGGCTGATAATAGCTGACATGCATCTTTCTTTTTCTTGT